TCCAGCCACACTAAAGACAGGACAGCCCTTTTAGCATGAGGTAGATAGAGGTAAGAGATAGTGGCTAGCTGCTTAGCTTCTCTGATCTTCAGCTTGAAGCTTGAATCCCAATGTCTGTCAGTTTGACAGGATCTGGAATCACCTCTGAGGGATTAACGTTGCCAAGTTATTAAGGTGGGAATACCCATCCTAAGAGTGGGCAGAGCCACTCCTTGTTTGGGTCCTGAAGTGAATGAAAAGAAGAAAATGAACTGAGCACAGGTAATCATTGCTTTTGGCTTCCTTCTTGTGTTTGTAATGAGACAAACTGCTTCAAGCTCCCACAATGGTGATAAGACCTGTGGCTGTGAAAAAATATGACAAAAGCAACTGAAGGGACAAAGAGTGTAGTTGGAACCTTTTTTAAAAAAACTCTTTTGAGGGCCCACCATCTGGCTCCCAAATAGATACAAGACTTATTCTTACTTATGAATGCCCAGCCTTGGCTGGGCTTGTTTCTACCCAGCTTTTCTTTAATTATCCCACCTACCTTTCTCTATTCTATATTCCTTTCTTCCTTGCGTACACCGTGACTGGTAGTGTGGCTGGGTGGCTGGTCCCTGGTGTACTCTCTCCTCCCTTTTTTTTTTTTTAGACAAATCAGTGTTTTAGACAGGCAAAGTAACAATTTCAGAGTTAAAACAAATGCAACATAAAAGAATACAACCTCTTTGTAGCATTAAACACATATTCCCCAGTATAAACCAATGCAACACACCTTAAACAAATATCCTGCAACAAAAGCATTTATTTGGGCTCACAGTTGGGAGCAGCCAAGATGGCAGGACTCTGGGCTTCTGGTTACATTGTATCCACAGTATCCAAGCAGAGAATTCATTTCACTCTCTCTTTATTCAGTCTAAGGCCTCAGTCCAGGAATAGTTTCCATTTTCACCAATCCACTCTAGAAACTCCCTCCCACTAGATCCTATCAAGTTCACAATATTAACAATCACAAATGCTTCTTTATCCTGATCAATTTTTATAATGAAATTAAATACCTAACGACGCTCCAAGTACTCAAAACAATTTTTTTTATGGTTGAAAGAAACTGATAGCTATCAAAATCTGTTGTGCTGCAGTCTGAGTGAGACCCCCGATTTCACTGATGCTCACACTGGCTCATCTTAGCTAGTAGCTGCCCTTTCATGTTGGCTCCTTTGTATCCTAGGTATCTTTGATGGTATTTTTCTTGTACAAGAATATTTCTCAAGTAATTTTACTTTCTGCATACTAGGAATTTATTGATCCTAACAAATTCATTTTACTGAAATTACAAAGGCCATGATCTAGGAATTAGACACCCCTTGTTCCCTCCCCCCAATGCTGCCTCTAGCTTTACTGAAGCATAATTGACAAACAGAAATCCATGATTGTAATTCGTTTTCCTCATCCATTTTAAAATCTTTCGGGATTTATCTTAAAACTTGATAGCAAGTGATAATTGGCTGCAATTTTTAGTCCTATCCACTTTAGCTATTATCTTTTCCATTTCATGTAGTTGTATTTCATCTATGATGTATTAAGTGAAATTACACGAAGATTAGATCTAAGTTTAGAGGGAATATAGATTAGGTTTTTAATACCTTACAAAAATAGAATCATTTCATCTTACTTTAATATGAAACTTTCTTGCTATACACAAAATAATATAGCACAATTCTCTCATATTAAGCTGACTTTGACAAGTCTTAATTGTATAAAGGCAAGGAACAGCCCCTAGTTGATATACCCTCAAATTTCCTTTGAGCACATTAGCAATCAAAGCTCCACACCCCAAGTCTGGTTTCATAGTCTCAGGCACCCACTGGGTTGTCATTATAGACCACCTCTGCTAAAATTCCTCAGAAATTCAACCATAAGTTAAATAAGCAGCTCTTTGCTTTGTGCAGCTCTCTCTCCATTTGTTGTATGCTTCAGGCCTGTCCAGTTTGGAGGTAGTAAGAAAAACAAATCAATCCAAAAACCCTGTACAAGGAATTATGTAGAACACAATTTGTTTTTCACCTTCCTTGGGTAAATAAATGTCTGAGAATAGAATTGAGGGATCCTGCCTTACTTTTTGTTGTAATGAAACACCAGGACCAAAAGAGCCTTATACAGGAGTATTCTGGCTTAGTTTCAGAGGGAATCCATAATGCCAGGGAGGCTGGGGCATGACAGCACTGCCAGAGCAGGAAGCTTGAGGGATCATTTTCAAGTGGGATGTTATAAACTCTCAAACTTCCTCCACACTTCCCTTTGTCCTATACCTTTACAAACATCCACCAACCAGGGACTGAGTGTTTAGTATGTGAATCCAGCAGGGAGACTTCTCAAACTACCACAGATCCTATGGTAAGTCTGTATGTATTTAATTTTATAAGAAGCTGCCCAACACGCTTCTAAAGTACCTGCACTACTTCTGTCCATTTAACAGCAATTACAACAATTCCAGTTACTCCATGTCTTCAACAGTTGGTATCAGCAGTTTTGTGGGTTGGCACACGGCCTGAATACGCACAGGCAGTATGTATGACACCCCGATCCCTATCGTAGTTTATGAGGAGTGAAAGTTAATCTATAGTGTTTGGAAGTAGGGCCTTGAATAAGGTCATTGGGTGGAACCCCCACGATCTCCTGGTAAAGGGTACAATACACCTGGGTGCTTCCTTATCTCCACAGGCAAGGTCCACTAAAGCCATCACCAGGTGCAGACACTCAACCTGGTACCTGCCAAACTGACCCAAAAGTGAAGCCGGAGGACTCACCCAGGCTGGTTGTTGCCATCAACAGAAATGGAGACTGAAGTAGCAACTGTGGGAAGCTACCCTGGTGATGTAGTGGTTTGTGTCTTGTTTGTATTCTCGGTGCCTGGGGTGCTGACTTCTCTCATAGAGAAAGCCACTTCAAATTTGCCCCACTGTTCAGCATTTTGTTACTGAACTCTAAGGATTACTTACTCATTCTGTTATGCCTCAGCAAGACACATATATTATAAGCAGTTCCTAACAACCTGGGAACTATTTTTTGATTCTTTACGGCTGTCTTTCAAAGGGTAATTTCAACTTTATTAAATCTGAGATTATCTTTCCTGGTTATGTTTACTGTCTCTACTCTCTCTCTCTCACACACACACCAAACAAACAAAATTCTTCCTATCCCAAAACAGCAAAAACTTGTGCTTCTTTCTAGAACTTCTACTTTTGACTTTTAAGTCTATTGTTCATTTTTTAAATCTGAGCTTTGCACCAAAATTGGGAGCCAAGAGTTTAAGCTCCTTTCCTGTCAGAACAACTGTTCCATTTGTTGGAGATTCCTTTCCTTATTGAATTACTTTGATACCTTTGTCAAATCAGTTGTCCAAGTAGGTGTTTCAATTTCTGGCCTCCATTTTATCCAATGGTTCATAATAGCAATTCTTAGGAACGTGGCTATTAGCAACAAATTTGTTCAGAGTTTCCCTCTGAAAGTCTTTTGTCACATTCATTTTTTATAAAGGTAGCACTGAGTGTCAGTGTTTAAAGATTTATCCAATAGATCTCCCAATGCAATTTAAGACGTGTGTGTTCACTTTTAGCTTGGTTTCTCTGTATGGAATATCCATTTCCCCAGCTCCTGCATTCCAGATGTTTTTGCAATACTGCCTGGCTTCAGATAATTTCATTGATATGCCTTATGAGACTTTAAAAAATATACTATCCCCTAATCAGTGATGTATAGGCAACTAAGAAATGCTGAATGGGAGAAATAGTCTTCCCCAAGAAAGAGCACATCAATTGGTTGTCCAATACTAAATGGTCAGTACTGACAACATATATACAAGTAATATGGACTGCAAGTAACAAGAGTCAATAAAAAAAAATAAGGCCGTGAATTTGAAAGAGCAAGGAGGGATATATGGGAGAGTTCAAAAGGAGAAAAAGTAATTAAAAAAAAAAAATTATTGTGCTGGTTGAATTTCTTGGCTGTTGGTTTAGTTTTCATCCATTAGGAAAACCTTTAGCCATTTTTTTCTTGATACGTTGTTTTTGTCTTTTTGGCCTAGCCTTAGGAGTTCAAAGTCAAGTGTATAAGATTCTCTTCATGTAGTTGGCTGAACCAGCACTGCACTCCTGATTCTTTGTGTGTTTCCATGCTTAAAGCCCTAACGAATGTTTAGTTCACTTTTTTTTTTAATTTTTAAGTTAACATACCAACACTGAGTTTCACTCTGGCATTTTCACATGCACGCATGCACATTTTACTTTATTCATACTCATCTCTGACCCCTCCACCCTCCTGAGCCTCTCCAGTGTTCCTCTTTTCCCCAACTTAAACTTCCCTTTCAGTTCCCTATCCTGTTTCAAGTATGTTCTGTTATATCCTTCCCCCCTTTTAGTATCCTTTCTACTTTCCTGGTCTATTCCAATGCACAGAAATTTAAATCTAGACCCTCCATATAAAACATGCAATTTTTGCACGAGTTTGACCTGTTTCACCAGACATACTGATCTCTAGTTCCATTCATTTGCTTACAAATGTCACAAATTCATTCTTCTGTACACGGGAATTAGATCCCATTGGGTGTATGCATCACATTTTCTTCACATGCTCCAGTGTCCACAGACATCTAGGCTGGCTCCATTTCTTCGCTGTTAACAGTGAACAAACATAGATGCTCTACAGAGGTCAAGCTGCTATAGTTCTATCCAGTCTTTCTATTTGGATGTTGATTAAAACATGTCAGGCCACATCGACTTAAAATCTTACAAAAAACCTGGGTCTACTAATGCAGAGATATAAAAGTAGTCTCAATAATTCATGTCTATAAAATTAGTCTGACACATACATATAAAATATTAGAAAGACACCAATGCAGTGCCGTAGTTTTGTGTTTACATGTACACACACATCATATTCGAATGACACTAAACACAACACCACTGTGGTGCTGTAGTTTTGTCTTTTACTTTGACCTCTTTTAAAGAACACTATCAATGTGTGGAAAATGCTTTATTGTATCATGTCAATATACTGCAAGAGACATTTCCAAATAATACAAAAGTAATCCACAGACTTAATTAAGTGAAAATCAAATGATCCAGAAACGTTTCTTCCTTATTTTCACAGCAATTATTTAAGAGTTCATACCCTGATTTGTTCCAAGAAAAATTATTCTAGTAACTTTGAGTGTTCAATCCGTGCAATAGTCCAGTCAGGCTTTACTCCTTGTGTAAATTCCCTCTGAAATCTAGAAAAAACATAAATATTGTGATCTTCCACTGACCCAAACATGCTCAGATAGCTATACAACTGGAAAGCATGAAGTAGAAGCAGTATTTAGAAAGAAGCTAATCAGATGGTTAATGGTAAGTCACAATTCAAATGTTTACAACATAATACTGAAGTACACCCTAACTCCCACATTTTTAATAGCCTGATCTATATTCAACACTCACTAGCCCCTGAAAGAAACTTGGATCTTGTTAAGTACATGCCTTAATATGAGCAGAAGGAAACTGGACTCTGGGTACACAAATAGCACTTTAAATATCAGCATACAGGAAAAGACGGTTGAACATCACACTGTTTCCAATTTAGTGAGAAGTTGTGGAAGAAAAAGATTTTTATTTTTAATTGTATGTGTGTGTGTGTGTGTGTGAGAGAGAGAGAGAGAGAGAGAGAGAGAGAGAGAGAGAGAGAGAGAGAGAGAGAGAGATTGTGATGTGGGTGCTCATAGAGGCCAGAAACATTAGCTCCCAGTGAAGTGGATTACAGATGGTTGTAAGACCTAGGAACTGAACTTGGATCTCCTGCAAGAGCAATATGTACCTTTAACCACTGAACCATCTCCCTAGGCCCCAGTCTTGATATTTTTGAAGCACCCTGGTCTTATAAGGAATATTAGATGAGACAAAATTCAGTACTGATGAGACAGATCTTAACTATAAACATATTTTTAAAGAGGCAATTAATAGATTTAGGCTAAACAAGTATTTAAAATCTAGATAATATTTTGAATAATTATAATCAAAGCATAAAACAACAACAATAAATATTTCTCAGACCAGAAATGATAGCAAACTACTTTAATCCTAACACTCAGGAGACAGAGGCAAGTGGATCTGTGAGTTCTAGATCAGCCTGGTCTACATAGTAAGTTCCAGACTAGTTGGGAATACATAGTGAGACCCTGTCTCAAAACAAACAAGCACAAACAGAAAACTTACACAAGTGAATAAAAAAAAGAATATGATTCTTATATAACTTCGTAGTACAATATATTTTAAAAAATTTATAAATTAACTGGCAAAATAACAGTAATATTCTCTTACAAAGTGTGTTTTCATTGACATATTTTAACTGCTCATCTTTCCAAATATTATAAAATACTGTCTCTTCTAAATCTCTTTAAGGGCAGACAGCATCCCTTCACTTTAGCATCTAACCTGGAGTGTTCAGCATATGAGAGGTTATAAACATCTTATGAATGAATAATACCTATGCCAACTATGGCAGACTTGAATTTTCAAAGATGGAGAAATCTTATGTTTCATCCCACACATGCCTCTGCAATGTGACCTTACTATTTATTGTTTTTCAAAATGGGGGTTGGGGTATCTCTAGATACCCTTTAAACTGTACAAATGCTGTGACTACTGACAGCAAAGTATAGCTAAATAATGGTGCTTTAGTTCTGTTTATGAGCCCATCAGTTTCCAAGTTCTACCTCTCAGCATCCAGTCACCAGGCAAATGGTGTTAAGTTAAACTAAAGCTGCAAAAGTCCTAGAGAAAGCGATGCCACATGTGGGATGAAGCCCTTGTGGGAATGAATCCTCCTGTCCCTGACACCCTACCCGACACAGGAGAGACCAAGGAAATTCTAGAGGGAGCTTCTGTAACTAATAAAGCAGTGACTCATAGGTAAAGACAATGGCTCTTTGAAGCCATTGACTGCTGGTTATTATTTTTTTTTCTTTTTCTTTTTCTTTTGAACAGGGTCTCATTGTGTAGCCCTGGCTGCCCTGGAACTCAACTGTACAGACCAGGCTGGCTAGATAGATCCACCTGCTTCTACCTCCTGAGGACCAGGATGAAAAGTCTGAATCACCACGCCCAGTGAAATGTTCCCACTTTAAACAATCCCATTTCATATTCAGTTTTTCTTCATAAATAACTTGTCAAATTTCAGTTCCTCTCTTTCTAAAGCTATCTTCAGTTTTCATACTTTTACACTGCCTTCCAGTTTCTAGACAACAAAGACAAAATGTACGATCATACTCACTCGTAGCTTGCACTCAGCAATTGTTTGCTTTCCAAGCTCTGATCCCCCAACTTCACCTGGAACACACTGGCCCCACTTACAGACCCAGTGGGGATGTCGGCACTAGTCAGATACCAAAAGCACATCAGGATGTTAACGAACTTCCTTCCTTAGAGAGAAAACACACACAAATACACACACACACAATCAGCATATCTATCAGCTACATAGCCGTAACAAGATCAGGAACAGTACACTTGTCCCAGGCCAGCCTTTGTGCACACTCCAGTGTAACTTAAAATACATTTTCTTTTCCAAAAAAATGTCTTAGAGCTTTGTCCTCTTTGTTGAAAACATACTTTTCTAAGTACACTACATGGGTTGTTTTTAACTTACACCATTTCCTAAGATTAAAACAATCTTAAGGCAAATACCGGACCCCCACACAACAGAAGAGAGAGGCCACACCTACAATTTTGCTCCTACTTCAACTGTTCCAAAGAAAGGCCCTTGTTTTTTCACTCTGTTGAGCCTAAGTCTCACAATGTATGTGTAACTCAGTTAATAACTAGAGTGCTAAAATTGAATTTGAAATGTTAGGGAAGAATGAAATATCACCCAAGATACCTTTGCAAGTATTTCAAATTAACTTGCCTGTGAGCTCATCTATTAAAAGTCCTCTATTGTCATGGCCTTACAGCAGTGGCTATCCCTCTTAAATTCCTGCCTTATGATGCACACATATGAAAATCTGTATATGGACTGATCAATCAATGAACTTTTGGGTGTGCTATTATAAAATTCATGAACTGGAAAATAAAAAGAACCAGATAACCACCGAAGTTCCTTCCAGCTTGAACACTGTTACCTAATTCAACTTGGGAGTTTTGTAATCTTTTTTCTTAGCTGTCTTTATTTGATACTGTTTTTGTTTTCTTTTATACTTTATTCTTTCCTTGTAATACACAGCCAGAAATGTAAACTATTCAAGTGTTTCCTACACTTTAGGAAATATGATATATTAATATTTTTATTTGAAAACGGGAGTGGCCTGTTGTAAACAAACTATTTTCATCAACATATGTGAGGATTTTCTTTTTTTTGAGGCAGGGTCTCTCTTTGTAATGCTGGCTGGCCTTGAACTCAGAGATCCTCCTCCGTCTGGAAGGTGGGGGGGGATGAAAGTTGTGAGCCATCACACCTGGCCTTGGATTTTCTTGCTGTGTAGTAACAGTAACCAGGCAGAGATATAGCCAGGCACCACCTTTCAGAGTTAGGTATTTAAATAGCAAATCTAGCATTTTTTTTTTCTTTTTAAACTCATACTTTTTAATTTGTTATGTATATTAGGTTGTTGGTTTTACAAACTAGAAATGTGATACAGGCTTTGAAGGCCTACAAATGTCTGTTCACACAGACGTAACTCGTCTATCCTGTGGTATTCACTGTTGTGGTTATTTGAACAATTAATGGCCATGTAAAGTTGCCTTGGCCAATGTTACCTTTCTCATCATAGTAAATGGAGATGTCCCCTGTTGATGTGTAGACAATATCATCTACCTCCGCAGCAAGTGCATTTTTATGGTTATCAGACAGTGAAGTGAGCTTTTCTTTTAATGACTGTAGCACCTGAGTCGGAAAAAGAAAAACAGCAGTTTACCCATTCAAGTTTTTAAAGTATTTTAAAAAGTGATGTTTATCATGGCATTTTCCAAGACCTATTTTTAAAATGTTGTACCTTATCTATTCATCCTCAAAAATAAAACTAAAAGTTATTCAATTAAGTAATTACTGACAGAACATAAGTGAGACTAGGTATCATTCTATTGCAAGAGTCATACACTTTTTAAATTAAAAGAACACTTTACCTCTTTGGCTACAAGTTCTTCCAATAGATCAAATTTACACTGTGACAGCAACTTAGATACATGAGCAAAAGCCTTGAAAAAAAAAAAAAAAAAAAAAAACAGAGGGGAAAAGGTTACAATTATTTCAAAAGATCATATAAAATATCATACAATATACATACTTAGATGGTTATTGTAACAAAGATTTTATGAAAAATGGGATATAAAAAACTGTTACAATAATGTTGGTCATGCCTGCTATTTTAAGCTGAATGACGTTTTACAGATAGTGTGGTCACATATATAGTTGCAAATGAGCCAACTACTAATTATGAATCCATTTTTAGGTCCTGGGAAATTAGTGTGTGGCATATGTATACTAGATATGTCAAAAAAAATTACTGTGCATGTTATTTTTAAATGATGATGTAACTAACTATGATCTACCTCTTAATCATTTATAGACAACAATGAGAAAGTAGGATGCTCCAGAGTTTGAACTGTACTGGAAGTTTAGAGAGCTGGATTATATACAGAACCTCTGGAAGAGATATAAGGTAAGTTTAGGAAAGTGGGAGAAAAGGAAATAGTTTATCATCTACAACAGTGACTCTCAACCTGAAGTATGAGGTCTTAAGGAGAGAGAAGAGAAAGCCTAATTCTCCACATTCCCAGCAATGAGGGGGAAAGTTGGTACATTCTTATCTTGTATTTCCAGAGCTTTCAGTCTGCTAAGAGAAGACAAGTTCACGGATTAGTAGGGGGTAAGAGCAGTGGGATCTAAGAAGCACACAGAGAGCCATCTACTCTAATCCTGGAGGAACATAGACGTTTCCCTAATGGAAGCAGCTGAGATCTGGAGAACTGGCTGGAGAATGGAGTTACATGGGTATGTGAGACAGAGAACACTGCAAATTATTACTGGTCTACCTGTCTTCTCTGTCATGCTTATGTTGAAGCCCAGAACTCTCCTTTGAAATGTGATTCCATTTGCAGACAACCCCTTTAAAGAAGTCATAAAAAAAAAAAAAAAAAAAAAAGCTGAGGTGGTCAATGTAAGTCCTAATCCAGTATCACTGGTATCTTTGTGACAGGAGGGATGGTATCCAGAAGCCAGATAAACAAATGCAGAGGCCTCAGGAGAAAGCAACCCCTTGGATGCCTAGGTAGTGAAACACTTCTGTTTAAGCTATTCAGTCTGTGGCCCTCTGCTCTAATACAATGCAGATGACTTCTGAGAAAATGCACATATACAAATGGTACTCAGGGTCAGAGGTCTTACAATGTTTGGGAAGCTCTCACATGTAATATGAGTGACAATCTAGACAAAAGGAACTATAATCATTATGCAGAAACCTCATCTCTAGTTTGTGTGGTTGAGATCATACCTGAGAAAATTGTCCTAAAAAGTAATTATTATAGTGAGGCTTCCCTGGTAAGATTCCAGTGACACAGAAATGTCTACCTCAAGACACTTTAGAAACGGCCTCTTTTTCTGAGAAAACACTGAATGACTGTACAAGAAAGCTCAAAGAAATAGTACTTGACTCAAGGGTAGTTAAGAAGACAAAGTTATATATATCGATGGCAAGTGGGTGCATTAGAGTATGTATTTCCTTATCTCATGATAAATATTTGCCTAGATTATATGTATTCATTCCAACTGCTGATGGCTGGAAGACCAAGGCTGTTTTTATTCTTAGAAATTTATTTCTTCTTATTCTATGTGTTTCAGTACTTTGCCTGCATGCATGTCTATAAACCACTGTGAGCATAGTGTACTTTCTAGGGCCAGAGGACAGGGTGAGACTCCCTGGAACCAGAGTTGCAGACAGTTATGCACTGCCAAGTGGGTACTGGGAATGGAACCTAGGGCCTCTGGAAGAGCAGCCTGTGTTTTTTAACCACTGAGCTCTCTCTCCAGCACCAAGACTACTTTTGAGCTGTGTGCTTTAAATTTAGCACACTAACTTTTCTAAAACTTGACTTCATCATGCCTAAAAGAGGATTAGACAAGAGACAGGCCCTTTCAATTTCATGTTCTATGATGCTTTCTATTCCTGACACATAAATGAACTAGTGTAGTCATGTACAGGTGATGAGGTAGACTCACACCTGGGCACTGCAATTTATCTCCACATGGACAACTGACACAGCGAACACAAGTAGCAAATTCACCCTCATTATGACACTGAGGCAGCCATTATTACTCATGCTTTCTCCCTTTTATTTTTGTGTCAACACATGCACCAGCCAAGAGTTGACTCAAGGAAAGGAGCTAATACTGACAGTGATAACATGAAATTGCAAACACTAATTTATAACTAATAACCTCACACAAGTTGGGTATAAATGGCTACAATTTAGGGGAAAATCTGAAATAAGTCAGGAGTAAAATTATAAATACTGGTACATAGTTAATTACAGTCAATGCCATTAAATTATTATGCTGATGGCCTTTGGCAATATGAACTGGGGGATAAATTATAACCTTTACCAGTCAATAGTTCAGAAATGGTAGGGGTTGACAAAGAAAACTGAAGAGAAAATTAAAATAGCTTTCCATCCTAGAAAGATGCACGTACACACAAAGCCTGTAAACAATCTCGGGATTCAAAGTGACCACTGTAAGGCAATAGCATCTGCCCTTCAGGAAGGTCATGATGGGCAAATCAGAACTAGGAACCACCAAGCCTAAGTAGTCCTAGTTTGCTTGGTCTGGGCACTTAGGAGACCAGCAGCCTCTGCAAATGCCTCACAATCCTGAAGGAATACATAGGTAGAGGAGGAGGAGTAGGGTACTACAGTTGTGTCAGACAGCTGGAAGTACATTCCGCCTTTATACCTGAAATGATATCATAGTACTCTGGCTGCGTTTATTCACTATTCTTCACTATAATTTTATCCACTCAATTTACTTAACAAATACTTATGGAGTGCCTACTGTGTGTGCTGGGCTCTGACTTCTCTAATTATCTAATTCTGGAAAAAAATCATACCCAGAAAAAAGCTAAACGGTTTTAAAGGGGCAGGAACAAACAGGCTTTGAGCTCACTTCTGACTCAAGGCCTGAAGTGAAAAATACAACTGGAAGGCCTTCAACTTAGTTTTTCCACTGAACCCCTCCTTCTCAACGACCACGCAAACACACCTAGATGTTCATTAATGAAGAATTCAGCGTCTGGGTCACTACCATGGTTTGGTAACTTGGATCGCAACGAAGAACTTCACAGCTAAACACCTGAGCATGCAAGAGCTGAAATGCATGAGGCGAACAGGGTAGGGAAGCACACAAACCTGCTTCGCTCCCTCCGAGAACTCAGCGATACTGAACTCCTTGTCGAAATAGGCCCAGATAAGGAAGGCGTAAATTCGAGTCCGGACCCAGTTGATGGGGTTGGAGAACCCCAGAATGATCATTCGAGTCTTCTGGCGTTGCTGGGGCTGCTCCTCGGTGCTGTAGCTACGGCTGGGAGCAGCGGGTAAGGAAGCGAGGGCTGGGGGAAGTTCTGCCCGGCGGAGCAGGGGCCTCCGGGGCCCCCAGGAACGCAGCGCCGGGCTTGCCCAGGGCCAAGTGCAGCGAGGGGCCGGGGCCGGGGCCGCGCTTGAGCCCAGGCGGCGGCGACATAAGCAGCAGAATTCACTTGGCGACAGCCTCACCTCGGTGGCACCGAGAGTCCGGAGTCGGGTCGCCCGGCCGGGCAGAGGCAGGAGACGGGCGGCCAGCGCCATGTTCGTGACCTTTCACCTCTGTATGCCTGTGCAGTACTGAAAGGAGGCCGGAGGGAAACCCGCACGGCGGTATCGGGGAAGTGGAGCGAAGGCCGCCTGCTGCTGCCACCTCTGGTGGGTCTGCTCCTCGCGGCTGTGTGACACACTCTGCCCAGGCAGCCGGCCATTGGCTCCCCCACGCCAGACGCAAACTTCGAACCAGCCACCTTCCGGCGCCCGTCACCTTCGCGGCCCTTTTCTCCCCGGGTTGTGTTTCCGGGAGGATTACTCGTGGACGAACACGTCCAATTTCCTAGCCCTGCGAAAACTAACCAGAGCCCACCATGGCGGAGCAGCGTCTTCCGGTGCCTCGGCTTCGGGGCGTCACGCGGGAGCAGTTCATGGAGCATCTCTACCCACAGGTGAGGAGCCCCGCCGCGGGAAACCAGCGGAGACACCTACTGGCACTGCGGTGGGCGGCGGCGGACAGCCGCTGCTCACTGGCTGGCTTGCGGCCGGGCGGAAGGGCCGGTAGACCCATGGAGGAAACGGCCCCACGTTTCTGGGGAGCAGGATGACCGGAGAAAGGAGAAAGTTGGGTGACGTGAAGCATTTCCAAGAGAAGAGCGGCCTTGGTGTCAGTCCTGTTAAGACGAGTGTGGATTTCCTGGCTTCGCATGCTCCTCTTCTACGGGGTTTCCCAAAGTTTAGTTCAGGATCCCTCGCCCCGCTCTTGGTCCTTGCGGTCTCTGTTTATTCCAAGATAATAGATTTTTGAAACGCAACATTTGAATCCAGTGAGGGATTCCAACAGGGAAACACCAATGGGAATCTTTCCGTGCTTTCCTTTGCTATAGGCCTTTGATTTTTCACTTGGATCATAATTTAGGCTTAATAAATCCTTTAGTTTTTTAAAAAGAAAAACTAGCAGAAAGTAGTTAGATTTTAATTTGCTTCCAGGACTTTGCAAGATAGTCCAAGTTTCAAGAAAAATAGTAAGGATTCTGGCGAATTTTCGAAGGAAAGGTCTCTTAAGGTTGTGTTAGTGGCAGTGGCACGGAATCTGGGGAGGCAACTATTCCGTGCTGCTAGAGCAGCCTGAAGTGTACCTTTGAGAGCTCGCTGCTCAGAAGGCACATTTCCTGTGGCATTACCAAAAAGAATTTCTGATGGAGTTAGTACGAAGCAAAGCTTATTAAGTTTATTAAGAGTTCTTAAGGTCACACTTCAATAGAGAGATGCTTTGCATAATATAATTTTACCGGGTAAAACCGTGGGTAACTAAGGTTGTACAAGGAGGCCAAGATCTGGTTTTACTGCAAGTGGAATTTTAGTGTTGCTCGTGAAAATCCTAGAAAATAGCTGGTTTCCAAGTTTGGCAAAAGAGAAAAGCCGTACCTGGTTATATATGCTTTGGCCTAAGACATGCTTTGTTGCTAGAACACTTTTATTTGAATTATTTCCGTATAAAAAGGAATATTGGCCTCATGGAGGCAACCTCGCAGCAAATTTTGTTAATTGTGCTGGAATTTTTTTGGGGGGGAGGTTTGAAAAAGATTATCTGTGTACCCCTGGCTGTCCTGGAACTCAGTGGGGAGACCAGGCTGGCGTGGAACTCAGAGAAATCCACCAACCTCTGCCTCCCCAGTGCTGGGATTAAAGTTGTGCATCACCAAGCAGGTCTAGTTGTGCTGCATTCTTAACTCTCAGCTGGTGAGAGATGTCAGACTGCAGAGTGAGTCTCCCATCCTTTCCCATGTTCTTCATTTTCCCTGTCCTTCTGCTTAGCCATGATTACAGGAAGTCTGGTTGAGGTAGAACTAAGCAAACCAACAGAAAAACACAGCAGTTTTCATCAATATTTATGTCTACGAACCAGGCTGGGTTGCTCACTCCTGCCCTGAATTCTTACCACATATATTGCCTAAGATTAAGACACTTTGATAATTCACCCTTGGTGAAAGGGTGTGTTGAAATGGCAGCCAAATGATTTATACCAAGTGATCCAACTATTGGTACAGCTCATCAACTACATGTTTACTTTCTAACCCAGCAATTTTTAAATTTTATTTTTCTTTATTCTTTGACAGCTTCATACATGGCATAATTAATTTTGCTCATTTTCACCCCTGTCCTACTTCATGTCTTGTATTTAGTGCCCCACTGAGTTTAATTATACCCAGATAATTTCTTATTTAGGAATTTTACTTTGCAGATATTTCTCTAAATGTATGATAATACATTCAGGAGTCTATTATACAATTAATTATTAGAATTAACATGAAAGGGAGATTAGATAAAGTATTGCTCATTATATTCTTTGATACACTAAGCTATAAAAATAATGTGGGAATTGATAGCAATAATTTTCAAAGTATATGTTTTTAAACTTTAAAAAGGAAAATACATAGTGTTTTTTTTTTTTTTTTTGAAGAAAAATGCAAATGTGTGTTTGAGGGTACTTCCAATAAAGAAATACAGGCGGTGGTGGTGCGCACTTTTAATCCCAGCACTTGGGAAGCACAGATGGATGGATCTCCTGAGTTTGGGGCCAGCCTGATCTTTAGAGTGAGTTCTGGGACAGCCACTGCTGCAGAGAGAAACCTTGTCTCAAAAAACAAAAGCAAATAAAAAAATTAATGGCTGTCTCTAGAAGATGACTGAATATGAACAGGAAGAATGTGGTGAGATAGCTGGCTTTGAGGGGAATCGAATTAATATTTTACATCCTAAGCTAATTAAGAAGGCAAACAGTGGCATGGCTGGGAAGAGGCGGGTGGATTTCTATGAATTTTTGGCTAACTTGATCTACATAGTTCTAGGCTAGCCAGGGCTACTTAGTGAGAGACGTCTCAAATGAAACAAAACAGAAGTGAGAAATTACTTAAAAACAAAACAGCCCTAAAGTAGAAATAGTTAGGCAGTTGGTGGCATGTGCCTTTAATTCAGCACTTGAAAGGCAGAAGCAGACTTATCTGAGTTTGAGGCCAGCCTGGTCTATAAAATAATGAGTTCCAGGACAGCCAAGGCTACACAGAGAAACCCATTCTCAAAAAAACAAAAAAAGAAAAAGCCTATTGGAGAAAGGGGATATCATGTGTCTTCAATTTAAAGATGACAGGAACTGAAAACAATTCTAGCTATAGGTTTGTGAACTAGCAGTTCTGAAAGTATTTTCTGGAAATTCTGCAATTTTGCAAATGATTAAATATTGATCTTGGGAGATGAGTTTTTCATTGTTGAACAAAAAAGTTGCAGATACAAACAATAAAAACTAAATTTAACTTTGACATATATTTATAATACATTAAGTTTATGTATATGTACATATTTGGTGAGATAAAGATGCATAATTGCATGTCTAGATTTGTGCATTTGGGGGATTATACAGATGCCCTTACATGTTTCTTAGATCTTGCCATTGTGAAGGCAGAAGTTATGTACAGGACTGAAACAGCCCCTTTAGGGTAGATGAATATAATAAAAATACATTATGTATATAATTAAAAGGCCAAAGAAAAGTTCCTACTTAAGAGAAACGAGAATTTCTTAAAGAAATGATGGATTGCAGGGCTGGGCAGAAAAAATGAAAATGATAACTGGATTGTTTTATTTTGTTATAAAATAAGGAAATGTTTAGTTTTAAAAGTCACAGGAACCAGCCCAAAGAGTCCCACTGGTCAATTATGTGATAATTTGAGCATTAAAATTCTATCAGTAAACTTGGAGGCAGAGAGACTGAGTGAATGTTAGGATGGAATATCATCTGCCACTTGCTGTACCCTGGGAGGGCTGCTCCATTCCTCGTGTGGAACATTCCTCATTCAAATTGCATAACCTACAATCTAATCATGAAGAAAACTAGATAAACCCAAATCCAACAAAATAATTGGCTTGTGTGCTCAAAAATATTAAGGTCATAGAAGACAAAGAAAGCTGATGAACCATTTCAGATGGAAAGAGATGTAATCACTGAATCGTAATGGCATCTTAGCCTGAATTCTGGGTCAGGGAAAGAACTCTAAAGGAAATTATTGGGATAATTGGTGAAACTTAAATGTTCATGGTGTGTTACATAATAATATGTCATTGATAATTGCTCTGTAAGAGAATGGCCTTATTTTCAGAAAATATACTTCAGTTTTAGAGATGAGGACAATGTTAACGACATAACTTTGAAATAGTTCAGAAAAATTAGGGTTAATAATATGTCTGTCTCTAAATACTGAGTGTATGAGCAATCGATAACACAAATGGGACTCCATATTGAAAAGTTGGTGAGTCATGGAGAGAGCAGGTGGAGATTCTTATGTTCTTACATTTTTAGAAAGCTTAAAGTGATAGTGAAATTAAAAGTTACAAAAGTGAAGTAAAATTTAATTATATTTGTGCCATAAATAACATGAAAATACTTGAGTATTTGGATTTCTTTTATCTGTTGATAAAGCTGTTTTGTTTTCCTAATCTTAGGTTTGTTCTGCGTGTGTGATATAAGTAATTTGCATGTTTTAGTAATGTCACAAATTGTTAGATGCCTTAAATCGGAGCATCTTAGGTTAGCTCAAAGCCACACTCTGGTCCTGATGGAGTGTCCTTCATTTTTACAACTGTGTTTTTTACTCTCGTTACAGAGAAAGCCTCTGGTGTTAGAAGGACTTGATTTGGGGTCTTGTACAAGCAAGTGGACAGTGGATTACCTGAGCCAAGCTGGAGGGACGAAAGAAGTGAAGATTCACGTTGCTGCAGTTCCACAGATGGACTTCATCAGTAAGAACTTTGTGTATAGGTATTTTCTTCTGAGGTTACTCTGGGGACACAGATACCCTTTCAGACCTTCAAGATTTCTACATCATTGTATAGTCTAGACCATACTGCATCTCATCTATAGTCTAGTTTATGTAATTGTGGGCTAGCTTACTGCTTTTTAATGTGGCTTAAAAGGCAAGAATTCTGAGTTTGTATAATTATACAGAGACATTGCTACAGTCTTAGTTTTCAAATAAAGATGTACCCTGTATCCTGTGGAGTCACAGAACAGAATTTCTATTCTTAGAGTTAGGTCCCCTCTGAAATGGTGTGCTGTAGCCATTTCTGCTGCCATTGTCCAGTGCAGGAAGTTGTCATAGAGGCTGACTTTTCTTTCCTCTCAAGAAGCACAGGGCAGCCTGCATTTGCTGTGTACTGACTTCCGTTTTGTAGCATTTAAAACCCACTCTCAGCTCCTTCCATGCTTGTCGTATGCAGCTATGCAATCTCTGACAGGTAAATCAGCTGCTGAGCGTCTACCTTTGAAAGCAGATCTCATGTGCTATTTATTCCCATGAGAGTCATTCAAATGTTAGAGTAAAAAACAAGTTCTCATTCTGAGCATGTGCAGTTCCCAGCAGGTTCAATCTGTTGAAAGACCTTGTTAGTCACAGATTTCAGTTCAGAGATGAGCTAGGCAGGATTTCTGTTGTTGGGGCCATTCCTCTCTCATGGGTGTTTGCCAGGTTCCTATAGTGAGTGCCAAAGCACTTCTCAGTTTCCGATTGACCAGTTACTTCATAAGCCATGGATCGAACTTAATTCCCTAAATTTTCCAAATCTAAGAACTTTGTACTTTTGTTCAGTCAAAGAAGTGGAAGAAAGTGCTGGCGGGATGAGTGAAGGTGAGGTTTAAATGAGTTCACCAGACCCAAGATAAATGATAAATAGGTGTTTTATTGGGGATAAACTTAACACAGGTAACAGTAAGTCACTGTCACAGCGTCCCTGCTCGAAGGATGCAGACCCTGCATCTCCAATGCTCTCTGCAACCCAAGTGGGCTCCTGTCCCCAACTCCTCTACCTTAAACGGGTTGTGACCACCTCTGAAACCAAAGGTTGTAGCCACTGTTGCAGATTTACAGGCTAGGTACCGCTGCAGATGAGTGTTTTTTAGCCTGTGGTTAATATTATTTATTTTCTGGAATCTAATGCCATAACAAGTGGGTATTGAAACTTCATTTTGAGTCGAATTTAAATTTCTTTTAAAACATATATATTATGTAATAGTTCTATTCCTGCTTCTTCAAAGTCTTTCACTAGAGCTACTAAAAATGTGGAAAATTATTTTTGTGCAAGAAAAAAAAGTAGATTTAGTTTTGTTTTGTTTTGTTTTGTTTTTTAAGCATCTCCTAAGCAGTCAGGAAGAAGGAATTTAATCTAGAGATATTAAAACGTCAGAAATCCTGTAGATAGATATGTAACATGCATTGATATATAATCACTTCAGCTTGAGTTGCTTTTATCCTTTCTCAGATGCCTTACCAAGCATTAGCATGTCCATTTCTCTCGTTTGCTGCTGCTGTTCTTCCCTAGTCAGGGTAATCTGAGCAGAACAAAGCCTAGCTCTGGAGTCTCCACTTAGCGCATCATCTCAGTCAGTCCTCATCCTCCTCTTACTGTCTCTTCAAACCTGGTACTGCTCTCGTAAATCAGCCATTCCAGAAACAGAATGGGTGACAAATTGAGGGGTTTGTTGTTATTGTTTGTTTTTTATGTTAACTACTTGTATGTTGCTAAAGGTACATTGTTACTTTTGTCACAATGTCTTAGGTACTGGGCCAACAATAGCTTATATTTCCCATTTAAACTGTAAGATAGCCTGTGATGTAGATGTTGCTTATAATGATGAGAAAATGAAGGTTAAAAAAAAAAGTAACTGGGGGAGCCTCATTAGATTGCTCAGAGGATAGCTTTGATGACCGAAGTTCAATGCCCTGAACTCATGGTAGAAATACTGACTCTTGCAAGTTGTCTTCTGACCTCCACACACATGCATAGTGTGAATGAGTATATCCAGCATCCCCACGAATAAATACATGTAATAATCTTTTACTTATATTTAAAATATGTTTACTTATATTTAAAATTTGTTTAAAATCATGTAGTTTAAAATGATAAAACCCAGAGTGTATATTCAAATTTGTTAGTCACAGAATCCATATCGATACTACCTCACTTACTGTCTTGTGTGCTGGTGCTGAGAAAAGGCACTGTAATAGAAGACCTGCTCAGAACACAGTGAGACAGAGAAAGACTAAGGCTGAGGAACTTCTCAACTGCTGTGTAGGGGCAGGTCGTGGATAGACTGGTGTTCAACTTTGCATGGGGTTGCTTCATCTTGCTCTTACAGGGTCACTGGTCCGTGTTGCTTTTGTGAAGATGTTGCAAGCATGTCTTTGTTCTCCCTAATAGAAAGCTAAGGGTGGGCAATTATATCAATTACATAGGTAGCTATGGGCCACTTTAGCCTCCCCAGATCTTAATGATGTGTATATAGTGAGGCTATTGGTAGGAAGTGTTGAATAGGAAAATACTAAGTAAGTTTGCTGATAAAATCCATCAGAAACTGTGGTAGGTGGCAGGGCCCTGCATTGGACTGAGTAAATAGCAGACTCCTTTCTTTCTATAGTGCTGTACACCATTCCCAGCAATAGCTTCAGTTCAGATTGACATTTACACTCACAGGATCCACACCCCATAGTGCCACAGAAATTTGTTTAGGTTTTCAGAAGAATACAGGGCGGGAATCAGCCTATTAGCAGAGTGTTATCAGTGAATTGTGTGATCCCAGAGTCATTTTTGGTCATCTAGTGACAACTTAGTTAGAACAAGATTGTGGAGGTGGTACTAAAACATACCCCAACTTAGTTAAGTGTCTCCCAAAGCTAGTGGCTTAAAATAGGCCACAGTAGCTAATCGATTTTTGTAAGGGGCATATTCACACACTGAAAACCATATTCTTGTACAGTAAACAGTGTTGCCTGCCATTATAGCCGACATCAAACCCTTATCCTTCTCAGTGTATTTCTAGGGAAACAGCAATAGTGGGGAAGGTAAGCTAAGCTAGCCCAAGGTCAGCCTCTCATAGAGGAGAGTTTACAATTCTCCCTCCTCTTCCCCTACACATACTTCGGAGTGAGACTCACAGATTGGCATTAAGGATTTCCTTGTCTTGCTACTGATATGGTGGCATCTTTATGGTTGAGGAATGGTGTAAAGAGTACGGTTTTTCCGCCCGCCGCTGCTGGTCTTGACCCGCCGCCGCGCCAGCCCCAAATAATGCACAGAGACTCTGTATTAGATACAATTCTGTTGGCCAGGTACTAGTTTCTTATCGGTTAGCTCTGTCTTAAGTATTAACCCATTTCTGCTGATCTATGTATTTCTCTTACCGGGGAACCGCCTGCTTTCTCCGGTCTCTCCATCTTGACCCTCCTTCCTCTTTACTCCTTGTCTCCTAGTCCCTCCTATCTTCCTTTCCTATTGGCCAACAGTGCTTTATTCATTAACCAGTATGAGAAACATATATACATAATGGCATCTCCCATCATCTCCTCTTTTCTGTCTAAATAAAAAGAAGGGTTTTAACCTTAACATAGCAAAATATATCACATAACAGTTATCAAGTAAGAATCACAGTTAATAATATTTAGTCCATTAACATTTAGCAAGATTAAAAGAAACTATTCTATCATCTCCTATATTTGTGAGTCTAAAGTCATATATGTAAGTTATCTTTAATCCTAACTAAGGAAAACTATAACCCTAACTATCTGTCTTCAACTCCATCAATGACCACAGAAGGATAGTATATATACTCTATAAATGACAGAGACATCTTGCCTTTGTCAGTTACCTGAAGTTCTTCTGTAATCTTCCATCTTCAGCCCATAGGCCATAATGTGTCTGGCAGACTCTTCAGCAAAGCTGGAAACTTTAAACTGTCTTCTTGTATTGGCAGTTTGTCAGTCATTTTTCTCTGTGTCCTGCAGACTGTCTGGCAGACTCTTCCATGAAGCAGGAACCCTGTAGCAATGTCTATCTTGTATCAGCAGTCACTTTCCTGTGGGTCCTGCATGTCCAGTTTATACAGCATAAAGCCAAACAGTCCAGACAAGAGCAGTATCTTGTCCAAATGGCTAGTCTTGCCATATTGGAAGTAAACTCCATAATGCGTTTCTTCAAGGTCCATCTTCCTTTCTGGTGCAGGGGGCATAGCCAGGAGCATTTATGTCTCAGTGTCAAGAAAAACCCTAAATCATTTTAAATGCCATATTCTGTAGGTCTTTGAAAGGTTTGAAGAATGCCTAACCATCTCAAATACATCTTGAAAACCTAAGTAACTTAACTCTAAATTTTGACTATCATAAGTAACTATCTATAATCTGTACTAAGTTATACATTACATTTAAATAAGCTATATAAACACAATGCCTAAACAAGAGAAGAAATATACTGTCACAAAATTGACCTTAAATTGTATCAATAAAAGAAAATCCATTCCAAAACAAAGTATTCATATCTATGCCATAATCCCCTTTTTACCTTTAAAAAGAATTGGCTGTGATCATTAACCATTTATAACCAAGTCCATTTAAATGAAAACAAACATTTATAAACAATATTTGGGAATTTGGGCGTCGTTCTTTCCAAACTACTTCCTGCTGATAGGGGGCGCTGTCATGGGGGAATCCTAAGAACGTGCAGAAATCCTGGTAGTAGTCTGTAAGGCTGCTTTGTCCAATCTGTTTTGAATGTTGGATCACCAGCGACTCTGTTTCAGGGGGTCTGGCTTGATCAAACCACATTAGTCTGGAAGGAATCCACAGCTTTTCATTTTCTGTGGAAACAAAAGTAGAAATCCTTTTCCCCAGTAACTTGTCCTTAGGCTTAAATTTTGGAGTCAAAGCATTTTTAAAATATATAAATTGAATTAATCCAGCAGCATTTCTTTTATCAGTTGTTATTTCCTCAGCGGTCAAACTATTTAAAGACAACTGAATAGCATATAGCATCCATAATTTTTTTGTGCTTTCCATCTTTATGTGGCTTTTTTATTACTCTGCTTCTTTTACTTCTATTCTTTTATTTTTTGAGACAGGGTTTCTCTGTGTAACTCTTATCTGTCTTGGAATTTACTCTGCATACCAGGATTACTTTGAAATCACAAGAGATCTGCTTGCCTCTGTCTCTCAAGTGCTGGGATTAAAGGTGTGTGCCACCACACCCAGCTCCTCTCTGTCTATTTAAATCATTTTATTCCTTTTCTCTCCCACGCCTACATATATATTAGAACATATTGTAAACCTGTAGTGCTCTGTAGTGCTTTTTCTTAATATGAATCTGTCTTTACTGTAAATGTTTATCTTTGTCTGGCCACAAGTCTTTTATCTGGTAAACAACAACATTGCTAAAATGAAAGTCATAGTTATTTCTGCTGCGGTTTATCAAAGATGGCGGCGTCTATTTTACCGCCAGCAGTGAGAGCTGTGCTTACCGCCTTGGTCTGCACTGCCGTCCAGCCCCATGCTGCCAGCTTGGAGATGTGGTCACTGTCATTGCAAGCTCTTGTACACATCAATAAATTGTTAGTAGTGCTTCTTAAAAGCCTTGTGGATTTTTGCTGCTTATGCTGAGTCAGGAACCTTCCCTTAAGGGAGCTGCGCGAATATCTGCTTGTCTCTCCCAAAGCAGAGTTCAACCAAGAAAAATGCTGTTAGTAAGAAGCCTTGCTTGACTCTGTTCTTTTGTTTCTAAAACCCTTTTTTTAAGCTTTTGTTAAATTTTAAGTGGAAGTTCTTATTAGCCACCTGGGCTCCATCTGATGGGAGATGCCATTATGTATATATGTTTCTCATACTGGTTAATGAATAAAGCACTGTTGGCCAATAGGAAAGGAAGATAGGAGGGACTAGGAAACAAGGAGGAAAGAGGAAGGAGGGTCAAGATGGAGAGACCGGAGAAAGCAGGCGGTTCCCCGGTAAGAGAAATACATAGCTCAGCAGAAATGGGTTAATACTTAAGACAGAGCTAACCGATAAGAAAGTAGTACCTGACCAACAGAATTATATCTAATAGAGTCTCTGTGTGTTATTTGGGGCTGGTGCGGCGGCAGGACCAGACCAAGAGGCGGGCAGAAAAACCCGTACTCCTTACAGAATGGTTGTTCTTGCTTGCTTGCTTGCTTGCTTATTTATTTATTTATTTATTTATTTATTTATTTATTTATTGTGGTGGCGTTAAAAACAAGGTTCTGATGAAAGCTAGGAAGCCCTCTGCCTCTGAACTACAACTAGGAAGTGATTTTGGTTCTGAAAGATACTAGGATAACTGGGGCAAAGAAACCCTCTAACTTGAGGAGTAAGGAGTAATGGAAACCATGAGCATTCTCCAGAAGCCATAGCATGGCAGGTAAAGCAGGAGGGGAGGGCAACATTGCTGCCTACTGTGCTGAGGTAGAGAAGCAGGGGGAGGGGCTGCAATGTGTCACACTTCATTACTGGGGTGAGTCTGGAGGCTGTCCCATTCATTCACAGGTTAGGCCTTGGCCCATAAGGGCAGGTGGCAGTCAGAGCCTCAAACTTTGTGTATTTTACTTTTTAACTTTACTTTGATTTTATGTGTCTGGGTTGCGTGCCTGCGTGTATGTAAGAGCACTGCATGTGTGCCTGGTGCCATGGAGGCCAGAAGAAGCATCAGGTCCTCTGAAACCAGAGTTATGGATGGTTGTGGGCCACCATGTGGGAGCGGGGAACTGAGTGTACATTGTCTTCAAGAGTAACGAGTGCTCTCAGGCACTGAACCCTCTTCTCAGTTCCCATCTGTGTATGTCAAAGTGCCCTGGCACCATGGAAACATCTCTCTTAGTAACTTGGAAAGAAGGGTATTGACCTTTGAAGAGCCATCTGAACCACAGATTTAAAATCTTTAAGTCTAAAAATTCAGGTAACAGGTCAGATTTATATGCTGCTAAATGAATTTTGAATATTCAGAATTCTGTCCACATGGATTATACTAAAAGCTGGATATTTCAAAACACATGGCAGTCAACTGTGCCAAGCCTACATGCATCGTTGGCATTACTAGTTGGTGTGTTATTTTTATGTCTAAGGATTCTGTTATGTTTATTTCAGAACTTTACCATTTAACAAGTTGGTCCAGAGAGCTGCTGAAGAAACTCATAAAGAATTCTTTATTTCAGAGGTAATTTTTAAAGAAATCATTAATGGCCATATAGATTTTATGTGTGTGGAGGCCAGAGGGTGTTACTGGGTGTCTTCTTCCAGCAACTTGACTTTTTTGAGGAAAGATCTTTTGGAACCTAGAAGGCTGGCTGACCCACAAGCTTTAGGGCATCTCCTGTCTTTGTCCCCAGTACTGGGATTATGGGTACATACCACCTCATGCAGCTGTTGAACTCAGTCCCTCATGTTTACACAGCAAGCATTTGGTCAGCTGAGCCATCTTCCCAGACCTCCCTAAATGGATTTCTTTGTGAAGATCCACTAAGTTGTTTTGTTAGGTTTTGGTGAGGATTAGACAAAATAATTTATACTTGCAGTTTGCCTGATAGACACAGAAACTGCTCATCAACTATTAATCATGAATCCTACTTCCTTTGAAAATACTCTGGTGTTATACACCAAATTTAGATGTTAATAGAAAACTTTATTTTCATGTCATTAAAATTTCCATATTGTTATCCGTATTGTTTCTTTTATCTGTGTAACATTTGTTCAAGATTAAAGCAGTATTTTTACAGTATAGTGTGGTTCTGAGTTATTGAGTTAAAAGACCTTGATTAGGGCATTAATTAAGGCTTATCCATAAATGACAGTTTCAAGTTAATTATGTTAGCATTGGAGTGGTATATCAGTTGGTAAAGTCTTTGCAAAGCAAGTATGAGGACAAGAGTTTGATCCCTGACACATATGTAAAAGTGCTGAGTACCCTGGCATATCCTCAAAGTAATTCTAGTGCTGGGCAGGCAATGACAGAAGGACCCTGGGACTCGCGGGTCAGCCACCATTGCCAAATTGGTGAGCATATCTCAGAAAAGCATATCCTGAGAAGCAACAGTGTTGACTTCTAGCCTGACCATAATTAGAATGTCTCTTAAAACCAATCTGCATTAGTTGTTCCTAAATACTGTAGCTATTCTTTGGATGTATATTCATTGCTCTTAGGTATTTTTCCTATCAAAAGTTAAAGAATGACATTGATTAAATAGCCATGAAATGTGCAGTAAAACAAAGGGTTTAATCGAAAAATTATGGAATATATGCAAACAGATCAAGATTGATTCTCAGCTAAGTCATAGGGAAAGCTGAGACTGTAGAAGGAAAGGAGTTAGCTGGCACTGGCCACAACTATACACACGGGCAGTCTACCAGTTCTCTGGAACACTGGGCAAAGACTGTTCATCAGGTGGCAGCTTGCAGCCTCTAGACCACTTGCAGTCTTCGGTTGTTGCTTGGGTTTACCCTATATGAAGAGTGTAATTCTGGGTCAAATGCTGAGTTGAACCTTAAGAAAAATGTACAGCTGCAGCCCCAAGTTAAATGCATCGTTTGCAAAAAGCACCCTTTCTTGGTGAAGAATTTGAGCATTGCCTATTTGCTGAATAACAGTTCAATTTTTGAAGAACATTCTTTGAAACCTATTTAAAGAATCATTTCAGTGTAGTACTAAAAATATGAAAACAGCTAAATTGTTAATTTATGAGTGGAGATTTATAATTTATTGTAAGGTTAAATGAGATATAAAGTTTTTATTACAGCAGTCTGCATTAGTTTCTGGAAGGCAGAATTCTTGAGTTGGATTGACTTGTAGATCTCAATTCTCTGTTCTAGGAAATGCACCCAGCACTGGGTGGTTTTGTTGTGGTTTGTGGAGCTGGGGAATAGAGTCTTGGGTTTTGCAGATGCTGCCCGAGTGTCAAAACAAGAGTGTCACCCCAGCCCTGCAGTGACTGCTTCCTCATCAGTTCTCTTATGTAGCACCTCAGGTAGTCAGAAGTGTAAATGATAACTTTTAACGCTACTCAAATAATTTACTCTTATAATGATGCATTTCTAAATCATGCATGAGTTGACTCTTAAGGATTTGGTGGGAAAATGCAGGTTGTTGGGGATAGGCATGGTCTGGTGTAATGCAGTCTCCCTGGCTTTTTTGTTGTTTTGTTTTTTAATGTATTAAAGGATATGATTTTTATTTATCTCATGTCATAGTTGTATTAAGAAATTTGTTGTTGGGTTCACATGTTATTTATCAAATGTTAAAATGTGTACATTGAAGTATCAGTTAAATGGGTGGCTTTACATGTGCTTTTGTTGCCTTTAGAATATTTCCTTTACTGAATCCAATCATGAGCAACATATAAAGATGTTTCTGTCTGTGGCCACTAGGGGGCATCAGTAGAAAGGGTGAGATAATTGAACTTTTTAGATAACTGGGCCACATTTTAAGATTTACTCCATCTCTTATTTCTCGCTATTTTTTATGACTACTGATGCTATTTTTTCTTTTGGGTGTTTAAGGATGAAAAATACTACTTACGATCACTTGGAGAAGACCCTAGGAAGGTAAGAATTGTGGATTTAAAGCAGTTACTTAAAATGTCAGTGAGCATTTTCACATTATCACTGTAAATTTATATTATTGATGGATACATAACCCATCTCTTCCTTTTCTGTTTCTTTAATGTTCTGTGCCCCTGAATGAGGCACAGAATGAGGAATCTTTAAAAGGTGATTATGTAGTTACTCAGAACTATGGAATCTTAGAGTCATCTAATTTTTATGCAAAAAGGATCCCTATTGCTATATATTATACAGATGGCTGTTCAGCTAATAAAAAATACTTAATCTAAAATTGCTGAAGACTTATTAAATGAGCCTTTCTGTATATCCAGAGTCAAATTAATAAGGCTAGACTAGATATAAATTGTGTGACTCTTCTGAAAGTGAGAACCTCTGTGTGAGTGGGTAAAGTTGACAGTAGTGATACTTCAGATTGTTAGAGCAGCAGTTCTCAACCTTCCTGATCCTGCCTCCCTAACAGTTCTTCATGTTGTGATGATCCCCATCCGTAAAATCATCTCATTACTACGTCATGACTGTAATTTTGCTACTGTTAGGAATTGTAAGTATCTGTTGTGACCCACAGGTTGAGAACCACCAGTGGGGGCGCAGGCAGGCGGGGGCTGGGGGAGGCGCGTATGTTGGTGGTGGTCACATCACTGGGCTTTACAGCACTGAACAGATGCTTTCATCCTTACTATTCCTGTGTTGTGCCTAACAGTAATTGTTAGGCTAATATTGCTTACTATTGAAATTTCTCTCCAGATGTTATTTTTAATCTAAGTATTTTTGTATGTCTGTCAATGCAGGATGTTGCAGATATCAGACAGCAGTTTCCATCATTAGGAAGAGATATTAAGTTTCCAATGTTCTTTGAAGAGGAACAATTCTTTTCCAGTGTCTTTCGAATTAGTTCACCTGGATTGCAACTCTGGACTCATTATGATGTATGTTACAAAATAAGAAATGTAAAGGTTCAGAGATCTGTTGCTCTTATGGCTCTAATGTTCACAGGTTGAGCTTTATAGGCTCCTTTAGAGATCTGTGCAGTCATTGGCTGGAACACGGAGCTGTGAGAATAAGCCATCTGTAGGACAGCAGTAATTTGGAGTCAGCTGATAGCAAAACCTAGTTTTATGTGGTCTGGCTCCTGATTCATCCTCACACACACTGTAAGGTGTAGATGTGAAATGAGTTATGGTTTAATGGGGAAGATGTGCAAACACGGTGTGATAGAACAGTTGACTGGCCATCCAAGTCATTATTTCGGGGAAAGGAAGAGATTGTGGGGAATGGCTTGCAAGAATAAGAATTAGGGGTACCTGAAGGCCCCTAGGACATATGTCCCTTGAGAACACCAAATGTTTGCTGATTTGTAGATGAGCCGGATGTATAGACTTTGATCTTGCTTCTGTGCTCTCATTGGCTTTATTTGCTGCCTATATGTAAGCATGGTAAGCAAATTCTAAACGGTATTGTGTATGGTTTGATGTTGGCAGCTGAACAAACAAGAAACTATGCAATACCTGGTACATTTCCAAATGTTTGCTGTTTTGAAATGGGAGTTGTGTTCTGAAGCCCTGGCTGGACTTGACCTTAGATCTTTCTTTCTCTGCTTCAGCTGGCAGGAATTCAGGCATATGGCAGCATGCCAAACTGTTATGTACATGGTTCTCCTAGTATATTTTAAAACTTATAGGAGATTTCAACATAGTAACTCTATAATCAGATGAGACAGACATGGAATCTTAGCATATTTTCGAAGTTTTATTTGAATGATTGGTGAGAAAGTGATGTGCTTCATATGTTTTTAACTTTATAGATTATGCTTTAAATTTTAAGTTGTTTCCTTTGACCTTCAGTTACAATAGAATATATAATACATTTTTTAAAAATAAGTCAGAGGTACCCACAACTAAACACTGAGCCGAACTGGAATCCAGATGCAGAGATGGAGGACAAGATCAGGCTACAGAAACACACAGAGACAGCTGACCTGAACAAGGAGGAGCTAATGGGCCCCCAGACTGATAGCTGGGAATCCAGCATGGGACTTGATGACAATACATACATCTCATGAGTGTATGTCTTAATTCTTTAACTGAATCATGTGCCTTTCTGCCTTTTAATGGTTTTCACACTCTGTACCAAGAGAGGGTACCCTTTGTGTACACAGGGGAAGTTAACATGGATTCATTTAAAAGCATACTCTGGGAATTTGCCTGATTGTACTCCTATACAAATAGTGTCATAATCACAATTTTTGTAACTATGTTGTGGGTGGACATGTATTCAGTGTTTAACAGTAGCTGCAGTGGTGTTTTCTGTTCAGCTCAGGGCATTCCTCAACAACTTAGTAAGACAAACATTAACCGAGGGCAGCCTCAGGTGCACTTATGCTGTTATTCTTCCTGTTTTCCTAGTTTGCTTGTCTTTCCCATGTTAAAAAACATGGAAATAAATGTCTTCAATAAAGACATTGTTGTATGTGTAGTACCAGTTTTTCATCATTAGATTTGAATTATGACTGCAAGGTTTTATATGGGTCAAATCTGACAAAAGGAATAGGGCTTAACAGTGACACCTACCCATGATCCCAGCTACTCAGAAGCTGAGGCAGGAGCATCAGAAGGCCAGTTTAAGCAATATAGGGAGACGCTGTGAACCCCACCCAACCCCCCAAAAAAGGAAAAAATGTGTTTTAACTATTTAGAATGCCATTGGTTCCATTGACTTGAATTTTAGATAATACTTACACATACATCTTATTGATCTTTAGGTAATGGATAACTTTTTAATACAAGTGACAGGAAAAAAGCGAGTTATTCTGTTCAATCCTCGAGATGCACACTATTTATATTTATCAGGTATGGTTTAAATTTATGTTTCTACAGTTTATTCTGTTATTTTTAAATAATATAGGAAGACCACACTGTAGGAAACTTCTTCCTTATTATGTACTGTATTTTTCATTGTGTACGTGTAGTGATGATAGGCAGTAAACAGAATGAGTTTTCAAGGATAGGCATGGTGGCCCTTGCCTTTAATCCTAGCACTCTTGGAGGTAGATCTCTTGAGTTTGAGGCCAGCGTGGTCTACAGAGTGAGTTCCAGGACAACCAGGACTGTTACATAGGGAAATACTGTCTCAAAAAAAAAAAAAAAAGACAACAAAAAGAAATTCAGATTATCTTATTGTACTGCCTGGATACATGGATAGTGGATGTTGGTTGTCATGTTTACAGAATGATCCTTGAAAATTATCGTACATTTCAGAAGAATAGTTTTCACAATCTGAATACAGTAATTGAAAAGAATGAAGTTTCAAGTTTATATTTGTGGTTGCTTTTTTCTTTTTTTTTTTTTTTTTTGTTTGTTTGTTTGCTTGTTTTTGTTTTTGTTTTTCCAAGGCAGGGTTTCTCTGTGTTACAGCCCTGGCTGTCCTAGAACTAGCCTGCCTCTGCCTCCCGAGTGCTGGGATTGAAGGCCTGTGCCACCACTGCCTGGCTAAGATTACTTTTATAAAACTGTGAACTTGGTTCAATCTGTATGATCTCTCTTGGGGACTTTCTAGGTTCTAAATCGGAAGTGCTTGATATTGACAGCCCTGATCTGGATAAATACCCACTCTTCCCTAAGGCGAGGAGGTATGAGTGTTCCCTTGAAGCTGGTGATGTTCTGTTCATTCCTGGTAAGATTTCTAGACCACACTAATGTGCTTTCTGTCTTTATTTGTGTCTAGATATGCAGGAGCTTACCATTGTGTCAGAGCTGCCCACCATCTTCAGGACAGTAAACTGCTGTACAAGTGTATACCCTCTAGCAATAGGCTGTACTATAGGCCATTCCATTTGTGCTATTTGCACAGTGATGTATTCTCAATGTATTCCTGTCATAAAAGCAACCCATAACTTGTTAAGATAATATTCTAAGTTATTCTGCTAAATAGCATAGAGTGATAAACCTTATATCTGGGGAAAGGTTGTACCTGGTGTTTTTTTAAAAATCATTTTATTTCGAAAATATATAGGCATTTTAGAAATGGTAAATATTTTCTAAGATTATAAATTTTTTTATTAAATACCAAAATATTATAATAACATCTCAAAACTAGAAAGAGTTCCTATGTTCAATAAATAAGCATTAGTTTGGATGCTCATAAAATTTCCATATTGTTAATAACTGTGGTGATATAGTATCTGTAATTAACACTTAAGTGAATACTTTAAGATTTTTAAAATCATAAGTATTGGAGTTAATTGACCAGTTTTACTTATGTTAATTGTTGTAATTCATAAATTTGTAGTTTATAAACTATTGACACCTTTATTCAGTGATAGAATTAGCCTTTGAAACATAAACAGTGAAAGTCAGGTGACATACTTGAAGTTAGATAGTAAATTCCTTGAGCACAAGGAATGGCATTCTTGCTAATCTTGATATTCATCAGAGGGCAGCACCCTTCATGTAGCTGATCTGAACCATGATGCACTGACTTAGTACTACTGTAGTTTTTCAGCAACAGCACCTTATCTAAAGTCTATTGCCATTTTATAAGTGAGAGTTTTGCTTTTTGTCTTTAGAATATGACTAGAGCTATGTAGTTTTTTCTTACTCGGTATTTAGTTTTTCCCAAAATTAAGTATTGGCATATATTTTAATGCCAAACAAGATTTCTGTCTTTAGGTTTAATTAACAGAATGTTTAGTTTTTTCTGATATTAATAAGTGAATAAAGATTCTGAAAGATCTTATAATTAAAACCAAAACATTGAAGACTACTTTTATAAATAGAAGTATTGTTTTTCTATGAACACTCTTGGAATTTGTCTCTAAAATGTAAACCCTCCTTTCATAAAACTAAACACTTTTGGCATGATTATTATTACATCTCTTACACTGAGGTGTTCTTTAATATTCTTACAGCACTTACATTTTGGAAAATGTTAGTTGAAAACAGTAAATTTTCTAGTGAAAATGAATAATATAGCTAAATAATCTGACCAAGTTTTTTTTCTTTACCACCATCATCAAAGGATTTGGTATGTTTTCACAGTCATGGTAAAGGAGCTGAAAAAATAGAGGCTAGATCTGAGTGCCTAAAAACAGAAGCTACAGTGTGTGCTAGCTTAAATTAGGCAACCAGATTGCCTTTGGAACAGGATGTTTTTTTTTGAGAACAAGTACTGTATTGAATCACAAAAGACCAGGCATAGTCTTCAAATAACTAAAATGCTCTGAGTACAAAAACAGTCCGTGTTCTGATGTGATTGTGTGCTCTGGGAAGTGTAAACATGGGACACAAAAGATTGCCCCAAATCAGAGAATCTCAAAGCAAATACAACTAGTTTTTTTCAAGCTAGATGGGAAAAATAAAAATTCCTAAGGAGTTTAGAACAGGGCTGTGCTCCTGACACTGAGCTGACTGGCTGTTCATGAGTGAGTGGAAAGCAGGGAGTATGCAAGCGACAGGAACTGCTACAAAGACTGTTTCTTACATTGGCTATATGCAATTCTTGATATTTCACTGACATTTGTTTTTTTGTTTTTTAACTGTGTGTTTTATTTTTAACTTTCTACAGCTTTATGGTTCCATAATGTAATTTCTGAAGAGTTTGGAGTGGGAGTGAATGTCTTTTGGAAGCACCTTCCATCGGAATGCTATGACAAAACAGATACCTATGGCAACAAAGATCCTGTAGCAGCATCCAGAGCTGTGCAAATCTTGGACAGAGCTTTAAAAACACTGGCTGAACTACCAGAGGAATACAGGGACTTCTATGCACGCCAAATGGTCTTGCGCATTCAAGACAAAGCCTACAGCAAGAACTTTTAAGTAAAATCTCTTCTCTCTTCTTAGCTTTTTGACTAAGATCAAGTGTAGAACTTCAAAAAAAAAAAAAAAAAAATGAAATGTAGTAAAAATTTCAAAATAAATTAAAATCAGCTCCAGTATTTGAAAATTATACAAGATATAAACATTTAAAGATACTTTTTAGAAGTAAATCAGTCTCAGATTCATGGTATAAAGGAGGTATGGACTGAGAATGCTTAGTGGAACCATTTTTAAGCTCTAAGATGTAAATAACTTAAAATGTATTCAGTCACACTACATGAAGTCTACTGATGGATGTCCTTCTTTAGTCTTTGTAGTGATTCAGCAGTGCCTCCAGAAACTTTTGTGTACCCCACCCCCACCCCACTTTTTCAACCACAGGATTGGCATTATCTTAGGTCTAGCTACTCTCGTGGTCATGGGATGGTTGCCAGTAGCAGCTGGGGCCTTGTGTGTCTTCATTTGTATGCAGCTGGAATCCACAGGCTCCTTCTTACATGAAGCTGCTTTCCAGAATTCTCTACCAAGCCCTTAGCCTTAATGCTCTGAAATGGCCTGTTGTCATCACACACTATAAAATTAAACATATGAGTGGGATGCACTCCATTGAGGAATTGTATGAGAGAACAGGACGGTTTAGACATTTAATAAAGCTTACAGATGCTAAATTACCAGGGCTAAAAATGAGTAGATTTGATGGTGTGTTAGATAGATCCTGAGAGTTCTATCCACATTAGCCCATGAATAAATCTCTAAAGACAGTGAGCCGTGCATGTGTGTGTTGTGTGTGTGTGCATGTGCACTCACGCACACACAGGTTATATTCTTTGTACTTAATTGCTCGGTGCCATCAAGAACAACTGTCTTTACGTGTGCCCATCTAAAGTAATCTGAGTCCATCAATTTTATACATTTTAATTACAGGAAATAGTTACTCTTGAAGGTAACTCATTTACTAATGCTCTATTTAGAGCTGGATTAATTTCAGGCATTAAAAAGAAAAGTATAAATAATTATGACTTAGCTGTCTTTGGAAGATAAACTGAAATTACTGAGATGAGGAAAGGTTAAATGTGTATTGGGGAAAATGTTTTAATATACTAGCCAGGTCTAATTATCAGATTTTTTTAATCTTAGCCTGAGCAAAGCACTTACTTAATAACTTTAATTAAAGGAAAAGATGTAAACCCTTAGTTCATACAGTATTTACTTAGCTTTGCATAAACTAACCAGTCAGTCATAGAGGGTTGGGAACAGAGTAGTAGAGCACTCACCTATCATGGTTAAGTGGGTTCAGATCCCAGCAGCAAAAGACAGGGTCATATAGAAAAGTTATAACTAGAACCAAATTGACCTATAGAATATTCTTGTTAGGCAGCATAGAAGGAAACTGGAGGGTCTATGTTTACACCTTCATCTTGAAAGTATAACTGATAGATTACAACAGACCACAAAACCCAGAAGGGCCAGCACATAATGACTGATGCTAGCCAGTCTATTTCTTATAAGACTTGTTAACTCCTCTTGAAGTATATTTGTAGCACTGTAATGAATCCTTTGAGAAGTTTTAAGAAAATCCTCCTGGTCATATTTTTAAACAAAAATGTTTTACTATTTTCTTTTAAGGCCAAATGAATAACATACTCATTAACTAATTCATTGGATTTGAACTATTTTTTTGAGTGGATGAATGTTAGAAATATAATCACCCAGTATAAATGTTTCTCTTATTGGTTGGTGAATAAAACAGTTTGGCCAATGAGGCAGGTAGATAGGCAGGACTAGGGGATAATTCTGGAAAGGTAGAGTGAGCCAGCCACATAGTCTTGATGCTGCCAGAGGAGTAACAACATGTCAAGGTATAGCGGGTTAGCCACAGCCTCATGGCAATAAATAGATTGGTAGAAATTCGTTAATAATTAAGACAGAGCTAGCCAATAAGAAGCCTAGCCACAGGCCAACAATTTCATGATTAATACAGTGTTTATGTGTTTATTTGGGGCTCAAGAGCCACAGGGCTGCCTGAACAAAAAACCTCCTTACAACACTGGGTTGCATATATGGTTCTAGTTAAGTGAGCTTCTACAGAAAGATTACAATGGTAATGACCATCTTAGTCCTACCCTAGTCTTCCAGCTGATTTGAGGCTTAAACTAGTTTCCTCCCATCAAAACTTATGTACAGCTTACTATATACAGACCTGAACACAAGTGAAAACTAACAGGCAGTGGGAAGATGGCAGAACACAGTACAAAATATTCAACCACGGAGTCTGGCAGCTGTGAGTTGGCATGGAATTGATCCAGTTTAATACAAACATTACAAACCTTAAAACTCTGCTGCCATTTGTACAATGCATGCTCTGTATAAATGTTTACATAGACAGAATTAGCTCTGCTAGGTACACAACTAACCAATGACAGCAATTGCTGAGATGAGGCTGAGTAGTCCCAGGAGACACATCTGTGGTTTTGTACATTATGTTCAAAAACACATTTCAAAACTTATTAGCTTTCAAGAGGTAATATTTACCTTAGCATATGACATTAAGTGATTCCTTTTGTAGCAGCTATGTGAACATTTGCAAAGAACCCAATAACAAGGCATATATCGTACCTATAAAAAGTTGAAGTTAAATCTTAGGAATTGTGGAGTAGGATAGGTCATTCAGGGAGGTGAAAGGCAAGTTGAGATAGAATTTGGGAATGTGCCAACATGACTCCTTCCCTCCAGTGTTACAGGAGGAACTGACAGGCTGCCACTCTGGTGTTAACCTTGCTTCAAACATACAAGTCATCAATGGGTGTCTTAAACATACCAGGGGATGCTAAAATGACTCAGAATTGTGAGGCCACTTCAGTTAAAGCATTTCTTGTTATCGATGAGATCACTTAACTTACCCCATTCCTTCCCTCCTGTTTTTCTAAAAGGAAAGCCTTCAAATTATCCTTCCTAAGCTCTAGGCTGTTGTGTATTTCTCCACTAACATACTGGGACTTGACATTAGATCCTTGTGGCTTAGATTCTCCTTACACTAGGTGGGTGCTTGGATACTCAGAAATAAAATGAATCACACTATATTCCAACTGTCTTTTATGGGGTCAAAGGAATACAGACAGCTAAGACGACCAGCAAAGAAAAGGAAAAGGTTTTTAAGGACTTCCTCTAGGAGACCAACAGAAGAAATGAGTATAATACCAACAGTTATAAACTAATTAACAAGAGGTATACTTAATGAAAAGGAAAGTTCACTTGAAAGTCAGGGAAGCAAAAGCAGACACGGGGAAACAAAAGCGGACACACAAAACGGCCAGTGAAGGCTTCCTTTCCGATGGTCTAAGTGAACAGGCAAACATTCAAATAACATTCCTGGGAATTATTATTTTAATACAATTTGGTATTCATGCTGTGCTGGCAACAATGTTCACATCTGTAGGACCACTTCTCTCAGTGACTCTTTACGAAGGCACAATCAAGTAAGTAGGACACACACAACAACTTAACATACACAGTTTTAAACAGATGTGGAATTTGTAGTAGTATACAGAAATACCTGTGTATAAGTTAACAATCATTTCCACAAAGTGTCTGTACTATTCAACACTACCTCCAGAGGCAACAGCAGTTCTAGGTGTCCCTTGGAGCAATATCACTTTACCTTGTAACAAGGGAATACTTTCACATGAGTGGAGAGGTGAAGAACTAACTCGGGCTTTTAAAATGAATTCTTTAAAATGAAAAAACAAACAAAAAGCCAACCTCTTCATTCCACTTCAGTTAATTCTGTGGAAATTAAAGCCTTCCCTCTGTATGACCATTCAGTAATTCAGCTAGTTTACATTATGTGACACATCTGACGATTATTAAACAAATTGAATGTAGTCACCCAATCACAGTGCTTAAAATTAAGGAAATTTGCGATAATGTAATTTTTGAAGAAACCAAGAGAACACTTTGCATATGTTAAGATACTAATCTTTAGTACACGTTTTTTTTTTTCTGTCCCAAAAGTAGCATGTTATTTCCCTGTTTGGTTATTCTGTGACCTATAAAGCTTTATTTATTTATTCATAAATAAAAAGTGCCACTTTTTATAACTATGCATCTTTGTTCCAATATTGTTTAAAAGTCATTAAGATTTTGGTGTTTCAAAATGCATTTATCTAGTAAAGAAAAATAGGCAGAAGGAAACTTCACCCAAATTATGGAGCAGTGTTAAGCAAATTCAGTTTCTGGGCCAAAATTTAAATTATTTGTGTCTTCAAACTTTCCTTTGTAACCTTTCTTATCTCAATGTAATTTTACATTTGGGCAAAGGAAGCTATTTTCTCTTGGCAGACAAAACCATGCTTCTGAAGAAATGCTGATTTAGGTCCGTGGAATCTGTCTCCTGTTGAGAGCACACCAACAGATAATTAAAAACTGTCAATTAAGAATTACGTTACAGTGCTTACTGTAATATGTTTTAAAACCCAACTATACAATTCTATAATCTTGGATATGAGGGAATTTATTTTGACTTTAAAAAACAAAACAAAACAAACACTTGGTGGAACACTGAACTGAGAATGAGTCCAAGGGTTCACTTTCCCCAGGAGGCAGGTGCAAGAGCCACACCCACCCACCCACACACACACCCACCCACCCACACACACACACCCGCCAAAACCTTGCAGCACAGGAAGAAGTGTAGTCAACAGCTGAATGCAGTTATCAGTGTTAGTTTAAAATAGGCCTCAGAAAATCAACTATTTCCAACACCAATTTTGTTACCTTTTAAAAAGACTAACACCAAGTTTCTTTCATTTTTAAAAGACATAAAATTACCAGAAACTACCTTTCTAGACTCCAAACTAATTCTAATCCAATCAAAATTTAAAGCTGCCCACATTTACACGCAAGGAATTCTACCACATATGACACTCGTATTTTTGGAATGTACATCTTATTAGCCCACACAGTGACAATGCATCTAATTACACTTAATCTATCGTCTGTGTTTATAATAAGTATTTGGTTCTCCCACTAAGCAAGCACATTAAGTCTCAGAACACTTCATGAACCCTGAAGTGATTCTCTATGGAGGGAGCTTCCTTCGCAAAGTGAATTTGGCTAGTCACCTGCACACCCAAGTCACCAAGTATCTGAACAAACTTCTTGTGCTCCTTTCCAATCCAGGATCTCATTGGATCGTGTACTTGGTAAGGTGTTACATGAGTGTGAACACTGATCCCTGTTTGAGCAAATTCTTTCAAGACTTCTGGATATGTGACCCAAGTATTGCTTCCTCCAGAATGGCCACCATCCAGCCAATACATCGTCCTTATACTTTTGATGAAAGTGTCTATGTCCTTGTCTTTCTTGGCTTCCTTCAACTCAAACAGCAACTGGTTCAAAACAACACAGCCTTTACTGAATCCAATCAAAGTAAATGATGCACCATTCAATGATAGTGGAGCAAAACTCACAGCAGACTCATCCCCATTTTCACAGGTCCTTTCTTTTTCCTCTTGGCCACCATTACTAGCAGTAGAAGAATTAGACTCACAGTTAGATGCTTTACAATCCTTATCCCAAACACTGCTATTATTGGACAGCACACCGTTCTGAGTTAAGTTGAAAGCATTAACTAATAACATGTACAAGTGCTTAAAGGCCCCAAAGTCTGGATTGTGTTCTGGTGCACCAAACATGTTGCTTTTCACAAAATTGTCATAGCAGCTGAATTTGTGCAAATGCATTCGGGAACACTTTATCACCCAAATGTAACTATTGGGAAAACGGTGGGCTAAGATGGTAGCAATATTTTCTAGACTCCAGTTTTTCCATTGGTAATTCTCAGGATGACGAGTCATAACTTCATGGTAATTCTGAAAAGAAAGATGAAATAGGCATTAAAAGTGGATTTACCTATAAGAAAAACTTTACATTGTTATTGAGGAAGTTTTGATGACCAACCTATGGTTAACGTACTCAAAACCTAAAAGCTGTTATCACCTTCTGGCTCTGATTTTGAATGAAACACTTCACTCAGGTTAATCTTCATTAAGAGACAAGGTAATAAATTTACTTACACTAAGTATTAAGAATTTCTGAACAACAACTTAGAAAGATAAATTTTAGTTTCATAAATTTATAATTTTGATTTAGTACACATGTAATAAAGTCCCCTAATTCAACTAATATAAATTTGGTTAGCTCTTTAGATCAAGACATAATTTAAAAATACTTCCTTTTCAATGAGCTGCTGCCCTGCAAATCTATAATAAAATCTGTCATAGGCATGGAGATTCTGCTACCAACCTAACTGCTAAGCCTGACTTCAGTTTTTTTGGCTACCAAGCAGCAAGGACAGGACAGAAAATCTTAGTATACATTTGTCACTACATTCTAAAATTCCTATAGGTGCAAAACTAGGTTTAAATAATCATAATTTAAAGTTGGTAACAGAGACTACAAAATTGCCTCCCATGGTTTTCTTTTTAATTTGTTCAATTTCACATGTATGGAATAGCTCAAATTTAGATTATTAAAATTAGGATTACATTGAAATTTTGTTCACTTACTTATTGTTATTTAGATTTTTACTCTTGTCTGTCCATTCCATTTGCCTTTTGTATATAGATTTCATTTATCTAGATGTGTTCTATGTAAAGTAATAATATATTTTTGTTTCGACAATATATGTGTATTTTCTTCCATTTACTTTTATTAATGGTGATATTTATTTTCCCCCCTTTTTTGAGACACTATCATGATACAGCCCAGGCTGTGATTCTCCTGTTTCAATTCTCTGAGTAGCAGGAGGCTTGACTTTTTCACTTTAAAACCTTTCAAAGTTGGAATATTTGCTATGTACATTTTTTTCCTATCAAAAATAGACTACAAAAAAGTTATCTACAAAGATAAGTTTACCTGTATTAGAAATAATTAAAATTTAGGTGGCTAGCAGTTCAATTTTCTCTAGTACATATCCAAATATGCAATTATGTAACAAGAAAATATCCTTTCCCTCTCTACTAAGCAACCAGAAGCTTAGATGTAATTTTTCCTTAAAAATATGCTGAAAGGCATGACTCTATACCAATACAGATTTGCATAATAGTTTTTAGACATCATTAAAATACTACTGAAAATAGCAGTAAAACCTGCACTAGAAATGTACAAGATTGAGCTATTTTCTACACTCTTACTTAACTTCAATGCTAATAGCTAATTTTTTAAAATCCGGATAGTATAAGAATATGCAATGCTTGATTTAATTTGCATATTTGATTTCAAATTAGGTTAAACATTTTTCTGTCTGCTGGCAATTTTTTATTTTTGTTAACTATGTGTCCTTTGATAATTTTTTCACTGTAACTTTCAATTCCCCAATATTTCTATTTCATTTATGGTTTCATTAATATTACTATTTCATCAATAATTTGTCATTTATCTATTAGTAGTTTGCGATGTATGTTCTAAATACATTCTAAGAGGATAAGTTGACTTTTTATGGATTTTGCCATTACCCTCTGTACATCCAGGTTTATTATACACAAACTGTCATAAAAGAAACAGCTTAGATTTGGAAGGGCTTACCCATTACCTTTTGTTATTGTTTGTAAACATTATATTTTGTGTGTGCCAGCATGTGTGGAGGTCAGAGGACAACCTGCAGGAGTGGTTCTCTCCTTCTACCATGTGAGTCTTGGGAACTGAACTCAGTTGTCCACTGTGACAAGAGCCACCTTTACCCACAAAGCCATCTTGGATCCCACCCCCCCCCCCTTTGAGACAAGGTCTCATGTAGTCTAGGCTGGCCTTAAACTCATTGTGTAGTGAAAATGACATTGAGTTGCTTTTCCTGCCTCCTATTTAATTCATTTTTATAAGGTAGGTGTGGTGACACATGTCTGTAGACTTCGCACTTAGGAGGCTGAACCCAAGAGGCTCCAGAATTCAAGAGGAACTGGGGCTACACATAGTGAAAGCATTGAGAATTAATTAACAAATAAATAAATAAGCAAGCTTCTTATAACTGAGAACCCCCAAATCCTGAAACTATAAAATTACTTACATTAATTATTTAATGGACCTGAGTGAAGCTGACTTTATGAATTTCAGCACCTCACAGAAGGTGCTATAAATCTAAACATCATCACCCTCATTACATGATCAAAAGGGGAGGAGAAAATGTTAATAGGGAGGAACTGAGCAGCAAAATGAAAACTGGAATTGTTACTGTTACATCAAAGCCCAGATCCAAGAACCAGGGTAAGTACTTCCACACCCTGAGACAGAACCAGATGCCCCCACAGTCAATTTGATTCTCACACAGGCAATTAACTATAATTAACCCACTGAAAGGGGTTTTCATCTTACTGGGGATATAATGCACTTATGTTTGTAGGAGGTAAGGCCTGGAGGCTATGCTTCTCTTCCCCAGTGAAGCAGAACATAAGATGCTTAGCCCAGTTAGATGCTTGCTGACCTGAAAGGCCCATCCCACACTGCACTGAAGTGGGGTCCAAAGAATCTTTTCAGCAAACTTCTTGTTTGCAAGTGTTTAGAAACATTCGTGATAAGGATTTAAAGCAGACGGACTACCCTGTGAACCAACTGAGGACAATGAGGAGAGCTACACTGAGGGAAAGGTACACTCTAAAAATGCACCCAGGGACCATCTTTACAGAACATAAAGTATACAGCCCAAGTACACAGTGGGCAAGCAAGGGGCCAAATGAAGGGAACTGCCTAAGAAAGCGCCAGAAGACCCAGAGAAAAATGATCAAGACAAATCCTCATGGTCATTTATCCTTTAGGAAAGCAAGATTTGGTGACATCTGCAATTCTGGTACCCTCAGGAAACTAGGTCTTACTATTGAGGAACATGGAAGCCATATGAAGGATTTTGAAGGGGGTTGTATAATGAGACCTTCGCTTTTAAGCCACTGTCTCATCATTTTAGATATACTAAGAGGGTGGAGGCATTGCATTTGTTGTTAATTAGAGATGATGTATGAAATTCATCTAAGGATGACTTCTGGTTTCTTTTTCTTCCAATTTTTGAGACAGGGTTTCTTTGTAGCTTTGGAGCCTGTCCTAGAACTTTAACTCACAGAGATCTGCCTGCCTCTGCCTCCCAGTGCTGGGTTTAAGGGGGCGTACCACCACCACCTGGCTTGACATCAGATTTCTAAACTGAAATAGACATTTTCATTAACTTGGATAAGGAAGACTGCTTAGGAGTGAACAGATTTTCAGTTTTAGATGGCTACTAACTGGCAATGCAATTGGTGAATCCGTAAATATCTGGCTTATGTCTAAACTAAATGAACACCAAGGGTTGTCAGGGCATAGGCAATAGGTAAAGCCACAAAATGGAAAGAGATCACTGAAAACGTAGAGAAAAGGTCCGGAATGCAGCACTGGAGCACCAGAGATGAGGAGGGGTGGTGCTCACTGAGTTACTCCAGCGTCTAACCTTGACTGATGCCATTTGAACTATTGCCCCATTTTATAACTGAGGTACTTCAATAAGAAAACTTAACATCTGCACAGATTTTAAGCTAAAAAGTACAGAATGGAGTGCTAAATCTAGGCAGTTTGGCCTTGAAGCCTTGCGATGATGCACTTCCCTCCATTTCTTTTCCAGAAGACCTAGTCCTCTATGAATGCCACACTCCACTCTGCCACTGTCCAAAGAGCTAATGGGATGGATCATGGTGAAACTACAACACTTTAGGCTCTGTTCGAAGACAGGTGGATGGTCCCTCTGGCACACTTCCACCAGAAAGTGCTCGGCTGCCATGACCACCACCACCGCCGCCACCACAGCCACTGCCGCTGCCAGAATGCATGAAGTAGCTGGTCACAAATCTCTGGAAGTTAATGTCAGAAGCAACATGTTTGTTTTCCATTCTGACTACAAGGACACATAGATTTCCTTAAATCGAAATCCAAGGTTTTTTACCGGTCTCCATTAGCAATTAACTAGTCAATTCACTGGTTTGAGAGCAAGAGCACTATGACCTTTAAGTATATCATTTTCAAGTTCCAAGTTCAAGTTATAGTTCTAGTATGGGGAAGATACCTAGCTATGTTCTAACTTGATGTCTACCCCAGCACTAACAGAACTTACTGGGATGGCTCATTTTCTACGGAAATGCTGTCTTTATCTTCGCTGTCAACATGGTAGACACAAGTCACCTGTGGTGATTCAACACTTGGCAATACAACTAATGACACAGTGAATTCTGACTCTTCATTTTAACTAATCCAGATACCCTCATGTGGCTAATGTATTCATTACACCATGAAGTTTTAGATTAAAACCCATCTTCCAGGACAGCTCTAGCATGGTCATTTGTCTGCAGCTATAAAGACCAGCAACACGGAAAAAAAAACAAAAAAACAAACAAACCAAACAGATGTGCTGGATTCAAATGGGCCTCGATACCGCTAGCATTGCTGGCAATGACATTTCTTCCACTACCGTGTTTTAGGGTTACAGAAAAGGTCACACTTAAGCAATGGATGTATTTTTGGTTAGTCAGCGTTTTCTAAACAGCACAAACACACAGTCGACTGAGACAAGGCTGGAGCTGTGCGTGCGTGTCCCTGTCCCCGTCGTGCCTCTCCTTCCCACGGTGGCACCTGGATTGACAGTCGCCCTCCGGAGACCGCGACCCTCCGGGACCCCTTCCCCAGGTGGGGCTCCGACAGCAACTGGAGCGGCCCCGACCCCGTGGGAGAACCCGCGTGGGCGTGTCGAGGAGGCCGGGCCCGCGTTACCTGCACATCCCCGGGGAAGTAGAGGACGTGGTGCCTCGGCTCCTGGGCTGCTCCCTCCCCGGCCGCCAGCAGGAGCAGTTCGTTTCTGCGCTGTGGGTCGGAGCCTGGCACGGTGGAGCGCTGCAAGCGGTGGCTGTCCGCCGGGGAGCCCCGCGCGCCGCCGCCCGGGTTCATGGCTCGGGCCTGCGGGCCGGACGCCAAGTCTCCGGAAGCGAGCAGCGGCCGCAGGAACAGGAGCAGCAGGGCCGGAGACCTCGGCCGCAGGAACACCCTCATGGGGGTCGGGCCGCCAGGGCCGCGCGCTCCGGGCGGCGGGGGCGGGGCCTCGGCCGCCCAACCGCCCAGGCTCGCGGTGACGTCAGCGCGCCAGGTACGTCAGGAGGGAGGGGTGAGCGGGGGGCGTGGACTAGGTCTAGCCGGGAAATTCGAACGCTAGTGTGGGATCCCGAAGCCTAGAGCTGGAGGCAGTTTGGGCTCATGCACAGTAGCAGCTGCTTAGGGTCGCTGTGCAATCAAGTCCTGTGTTTAAAAGTTTGGGTAGGTTCATCTTCACGGTGAAGATTATCCGGTCAGAGGCAATGTAGAGTAGTAATTCTGGAAGTCTTTTACGTGCCCGAAAGTGAACGGAGTCTCCTTTATCCTAACGTCCCCAAGTAGGTTTCACATCTAGTCTTGGGCATTTCTAATTGGTAAGAGCGATCAGGGCACATGGCTTAGGGAAGGATGGAGGAATGCCTTTCTTGTTCGCACATTTACTGTGGGGTGTTTACAGCCAATAGGACTTTCTATTTAGGGTTTTGAAACCAGTTTGAAAAGTGTAGAGATAGGGCTGAGCCAAATTTATGTTAAAGATGGGACATACTTCAGACATGTACATGTGTTTGTTTGCTGGTGTAGGCCTGAAGTGGACTTTGGGTGTAGCAATTGAGATTGCTGGAAAGAAGTTGAAACTTAAATGGAAGTTCCTGCAAGAATGATTAACTTATTAGAGCTGGAGTGATTAGGGAGAAATTATAATGTTGCAAGTCCAGAGCCTAATTATAGTTTATCTTGGACTGCCTTCAGCTCCTTTAATTAATAGCCTATCCTAGCCCACCTGTGTGTCTGAGTAGCCAGCATCCCAGTAAATGTAGATGACCGTTAGAATGTATTAACTTTGCAGGGCACTAGTTTCCAACAGCCCAGAAGCTAAGAATGTTATCACATCTGGGGCCTGTAGCAGAGATTTTCCACCCAGTGTTTCCAGCAGTATATTTGAAATGTCTTAATTTATATAAAATTTTCTGGTTTGGTATTGTAAAACTTGAATTCACTCATATTCAGTTCACCTTTGAGGTGAGAGCAGTTTCTTGCGTCAACAGTACATCCCTCCCTCTCCATCTTTCCAACATTTTTATTTATTGATTTATTGTTTGGCAGCATCTCACTGAAGCTGGAGCTCATGGATTAGGGTACAATGGGATAGCCAAGGAGCCCCAAGGGTTTGCCTGTTTCTCCCTTCCAGCTTTGGGATTCAACCCCTGGGCTGTGGTCTTTCTGTATTTTGTGAATGATGGAGATCCAACTCAGGTGCTCACACTTTGGGGAAAGAAGTGGGGTGCCATACCAACTAAGTCATCTCCCAGCTCTACTCTGCCTTTTAAAAGTTCTTGTATTTGTAGGAGGAAAACATTAGCCAATAGTAAAGTTGAATTGCTTTGTTGGATTTCACTAGCCACCATTTTCTCAATGGCTTCAGAGAGGGATAATTTACCATGCTTTGACATAAACTATTGGATATCATCTGACATAATAAATGTAACTGAGGTGTTGTCAGTGAGAATGACCCCACCCACTCATATTTGAATACTTAGTCCTTATTTGATGGAACTATTGTAGGATTATGATGTAGAGTTGGAGGAGGTGTGTCACTGAATGTAGTTTTGAGGTTTCAAAAGCCATTCATTCTCAATGTGCTGTCTGCTCCATGCTTATGGATCAAGATATAAGAAGCTCTCTACTACTACTACACTAGCACCATGCCTGCCTGCTACCATTCTCCCCACTACGACGGTCATAGACTCTATCTCTCCGGAACCATGAGCTCCAAGTTAAATGCTTTCTTTTATAAGTGGCCTTGGTTGTAGGCTTTTGTTTTTTGTTTGTTTGTAATCACAGCAATAGAAACGTAACTAAGGTAGAAACCAAGAAAAAAGTTAATCAAACAAAGTAACTCAATTGCTTTATAAAAATCACTAGTGAAAAGAAATAGAGGTTAGTTGTACAGTAATTGGTGTAATCCCACCAAGGAAGCCAGGCTTCACTTTAGTTCTGCAAATCACATGTTGCTTTCACTGGGCAGAGGAGTAGTCTGTAAACCCAAGTATAGACATATATTGCTAGCGTAGCTTTTGATTCGTATGGACTGGTTTTCCAGGTTAACTGATTAATGAAATAGTCATATGTTGAAGGGGAACAGGACATACTTGAGTTTAGAGAGAAAATTAATTTATCAGATACTTAATATGTTGAAGTAATCTCAGTATCTCTAAGATAACTGAGGCCTTTGGGACATACAGAAGAAGGGCTGAAGAGTGAAACAACAAACCAAAGTGGGAAGAACCTGCAGCTGCTCAGTCACTCATTTGTATAACCCTGCAGGAGGTGTTTTCCTGGGAAAGCAGCAGCCGTCCCTCAATTTGTCATTAGAGGTACGTGTAAGGTGTACGGGTTTTTCCACCTGCCGCCTCTGGTCTTGTCCCGCCGCCACGCCGCCAGCCCCAAATAATACACAGAGACTCTGTATTTCATACAATACTGTTGGCCCGGTTACTTGTTTCTTATTGGCTAGCTCTGCCTTTAATTATTAACCCATTTCTGCTGATCTATGTATTTTCACATGGCCTTCTCTTACCGGGGAGGCGGCTGGCATCCAGGTCTCTCCTGAATCTCCATCTTGACTCCTCCTTACTACTTCCTATTTCCTCCTTGTCTCCTAGTCCCTCCTATCTTCCTTTCCTATTGGCCAACAGTGCTTTATTATTAACCAGTATGAGAAACATACAGAATGACATCTCCCATCATCTCCTCTTTTCTGTCTAAATAAAAAGAAGGGTTTTAACCTTAACATAGCAAAATATATTATACAACAGTTGTCAAGTAAGAATTACAGTTAACAATATTTAGTCCATTAACATTTAGCAAGATTTGAAGAAAATATTCCATCATCTATCCTATCTTTGTGTGTCTAAAGTCTATGTATCTTATCTTTAATACTAAGGAAAACTATAACCACAACTATCTGTCTTCAACTCCCTCAAAGACCACAGAAGGATAGTATATAAGCTCTAGAAATGACAGAGACAAATCACTGCCTGGTCACCCAAGGTTCTTTTGTAATCTTCCATGTTCATCCCATAGGCCATAGTGTGTCTAGCAGACTCTTCAGCAAGGCAGGAAACTTTAAACTGTCTTCTTGTATTGGCAGTTTATCAGTCACTTTTCTGAGTCCTGCATACTGTCTCGCAGACTCTTCCATGAAGCAGGAACTCTGTAGCAATGTCCATCTTGAATCAGAAGTCACTTTCCTGTGGGTCCTGCATGTCCAGTTTATACATCACAAGTCAAACAGTCCAGAAAAGTGCAGTATCTTGTCCACATGGCTAGTCTTGCCATATTGAAAGTAAACTCCATAACGAGTTTCTTCAATGTTCATCTTCCTTTCTGTTGCAGGTGGTATTGCCAAGAGCAATTATGTCTCACTGTCACGAAAACCCTAAACCATTTTAAATGCCATATTCTGTAGGCCTTTGAAATGTTTGAAGAATTCCTATCTATCTTAAATACATCTCTGTATATCTAGAAAACTTAACTAACTTAACTATATCTGACTATCATAGATACTATCTATAATCTGTATTGAATTATACATTACATTTCTAAACAATACTTAAATAAGAGGAGAAATATATATATCACAAAATTGACCTTAAATTGTATCAATAAATGAAAATCCATTCCAAAACAAAGTATTCATATCTATACCATAATTCCCTTTTTACCTTTAAAAGGAACTGGCTGTGATATATGTAGTTAGGCACTGTGTGGCAGAAAATTCTTGACTGTAGTTCTATTTGAAACTGGCCAGGGTGTAATAAAAAGGTGCACCATTACAGCTAGCTAGTCATGAGTTGTCTCGAGCAAAACAGTCTCAAACCGGTTTTAGGGTGATGTTTGTAGTTCCGATGCATCAGGTTGAGTCAAGTGGAAATGATGATGTGGGGCCCCATCTTCTTTCCGGAAAGTTCAAAGACTGCTGTTAGGAATCGTTATTATTCCTTGTGGAAAAGTTACACATCAATATTAAAGTAAAATTTTCAAGTTTTAAGGTATGCATTAGGGAAAGACAACAATAAGCATTAAAAGTATGTGAGAAAATTAGGATTTCAGAGAGAAAACTGCATAAGATATGAGTCCCCAGATTTTGTTTCTTCTGCCTTACACCAATTGGCTTCTTGATTTAAGGCAGAAACCATGAATTTAATCTTAACAACATGCTTGAATTTAGAGAAGGAAAGCCAAATCCAACTCCAAAGCCAGCATTGGTTTACAAAATTTGGGACTTCAAGAATACTAGATAATAGAGAGAAATAGATTTCTATATAGAAATAGTTTACTACAATTAAATATTTTTTTTTTTTTTTAAGCCGAATAGATGTTTATTCAGGGAGAAATAACTTACAACCTAGACAGATGAACACCAGGAAATTCAACCCGATCCTCTCCTGTCCGAGTCACGCCAGAAAGAGAACGCCTTCCTGGCCCCCTCCGACCTCCTTCCTCAGGTCACCTCCGCCCATAGCTCCACCCCCCCAATGGGCGTGGTCAGTGCTACAGAAGGACTACCTCACTACAATTCCCCTTTTAGTCTAAAGAAAAGATTTAGGCTTAATACAAAACTATATACAAAACAGTGAATAACAAGTGTGCTCTAAGAAAAGGAAAATCGAGAACAAAATGACCTACATATCTAGTCCTAGGGTGAGGGCATAATGGAGTTTACAATAGAGTTGTCCTAAGCTGGAAAACGTAAGTCTAGTACCTAAAATATCTAACTAGGAAGAGAGAATAATAGTTGTGATAGTTTAATCTTCAACCTCATCAAGACCTGAGAAGGAAAATAACAATACTAGAGTAGACAGGAAATGCGGATGGACAACTTCCAAAACGGTGCAGCAAGGACAGAAACAGCAAGCCACCTGAACAGTCACCCTAGGTCTCACAGCGACGTTGGTACACCCAGATTTGGCTAAGGCCAAGAGAACTTGACAGACCACAACAACAGCAGGGAAATAGAATGGCTGTCT